TTTCATAAAGTTATACTTTTAAACTATGGAAATTATATTTGAGTAAAATATTTATAATACTAAAAATTAAAATTAGCTAAAATGGTTGTTACACAAAGTCGTTAGAAAATTATTTTACATTTTATTAGCGGAATCGGTTTCATTAATATTTTTGTTCTAAACCAATATTTAATTTTTCTGTTTCTTTGATCAAATTTTCTAACTGTAAATTGATGTATACATTTTTTCAATGTAGCTTCCTTTATCACGAATTATACGTAAGCGATACATTTAATTTGGTTAATTAATTATTTAATGATGAATATCTCCAATATGGAGAAAAAACTTAAAACTTGGACATTTTAAGATGTAAAATGTTTAAATAATTTAAGCTTAACTAACATCAAATTTCAAGGCTAATTCAAAGCCTTTTATTTTATCTAGTACTATCAAATATCAACATGATTAAGCTGAACAACTTAAATTTTATTAAGTTATAATACATTATTAAGGAAATAATTTTTTTAATGTAGTTATGATTTCAAATTACTATTTTTAAAAACATATATGGATATTATAATTTTATTTTTTATTCATCTTTCTCTCTCTCCATTTCTATCTTTTAAGCATATTATCATAGACATAGTAAAATAATATTTGTTCCATAATTATTTATTGCACTGTTTTGCTAGATACATTTGAAAATGATAGCCCTTTTTACAAATCATACATATAAATCTATAGTAATACTTATCACATTGGCTTATTTTCGAATTTAAAATTCTTAGCTTGATACATTGAGAGAACATAGTTGTGGTTTAATACCAAACAAGAAAACATAATCCTTTTTTGAAGGAAGTGCAAGTATGCTAAATACTTCCTGGTAGTATTACTGAAATGAATTATAATATTTTTCACTATTAAGCTCTTAATGGTAAACATTTAATATTAAACATTTTAATGAATTTATTTAGGCACATCTTTATTAATTTTACGATACCGTTGTTATTAATGCTTGGTTTTTAAATTACACATTTTTTATAATCTTTCAGTGATGATTTTTATGAATAAAAATAAATAAATTTAGTAATCATTTAATCTTTAGAATCTTTATTTATTTTCTTATATCTAGTGCAAAACTCCCAAATTTATTAAATTTATGTGTATTTTACTATTTTATATTAATTATATTTACATGATTACTATAAGATAAATTGAATGTAACATCATTATAGTGTAACTGACATTGTAAAGACATTTTTGGTTTAAGCTAAATTCCAAAGAATGTTGTGGGATGAAGAAATTTTGAATAAGTTTTTGAAATAATATTTGGAATGTTTATTAGCGGGATCAGTACATATGCCTGATATTCAATTGCCTGACATCATTTGCCTGACACTACATTTGTCCGACAATCTCAAATTATATTATAAATAAATATGTGTCAACAATTATTAAAAATTTCAATAAAATATTATATTATACCTATTATGTTATTTACAAATTAATGTTAAATTTTAAAATTATACAACTAATAATTGTGTCAAAAATTAATAATAACACAAACATTATACTACTTACAATTTAATGTTATGAGCGATTCCTCTTAGAAATGATAAATATGATCGATTTTCCCTGTCACTTATAATTGCACTAATACGTTTTTCTCTTTCAGCGTATTCTTTGCGAGTTGAAGTATGTGCCCTTCCACGAATTATATATTCAGCTCTCCGTTCCATTTGAATTTGCTCTTTTTTAATTCCTTCGATAATTGTATAAACACCAAAATGACATTTTCCAACAAGAGTTTCAAAACGTCTATGCCAACCCTCTACGCGATTTTGAGTTCTAGGAATTCCCAATTCCATTTGCTCAAATACGGACCAAAATATTGGTGAAAATAAAGGAGCTGTACAACTTACATTACCTCCTCTCATTATCCTTTGAATTCTACCATGCACATAATTGTTCTCAAACCACTGCATTATCTCAGAAGCTTCTTCGGGAATAGTGGATTTTAATTCATCAAATGCACCTGGTATTTCGGAAGGTGGAAGAAAAGCAAGAGCAATAATCTGACGTAGTTTCAAACTAAATTCTTTATCTTTTCCATATCTTTTACTAAGAGAATTTGCTTGATTTTGACGCCATACACTTTGCCCTAGATGAAAAAGACAACCAATAAAATTAGTGTCTGGATATTCACGTATTGAAGCATTTATAGCCGTTTGCTCAGAATCAGTTAAAATTAATTGAGGATTTAAATTTAATTCATTTTCGGTTGCAAAATCATTTAAATTTTCAAAAAGGCGAGTATAACATTCTTCTGTTTTACTCGCCATTAAAGCATACACGAAAGGCAATATTTTTGAATTTTCTCTTGTTCCTACTACAGCATGGATTGTATATAATTGCCGAAAAAGTGATGATTGATTTACAATTTTGCTGTGCATATTGCTTTGAATTTTATACTTATTTCTTTGTTGTCCTTGGATATTATCGATCAGTACAAAATCAAAAAGATATGCAATTAAGCGGTGAGCAACCGGTTATATTAAAGATTTTTAAAAAAAAAAAAAAAAATGTACAGCTATATGGTTAATGGTGAATATTAATTATGCTATCAAACAATGAAAAACAATTATTTTTAATATGATTTTTATTTTACTTGTTTTATAAAATTGATCAATTACATACTTTAGTAATTATAAATTACTCCTTTAATTATAATGTGTAAACTGTTTTTTAAATATTTGTAAATTTATAACAATCAAAAGTAGATAGTTTTTTTATGTCGTGTGAATATTTTATTTATTTTTGGTTAAACATGGTAAGCATTAAAATAAAATTACATTTTATGATCCTAGAAAATATTAACTATTTATGACTTTATTTGGTACTTGTTACAAGAGCTTCAGTGTATCTCTGTAACTCATTTTGGTTTTGTATTTTTAACAGATTAAAGAGTATTAGTAAATTTAAGTGATTTTTGTATGATTTGTAATTTATATGTTCAATATCAAAATTTATTACTAACGTTAAAATTAGTGAACTATAATTCAGTTATATGTTTACATGTTGATAATTGTAATTTTAAATACAACTTTCGTTTAAATTGAATACCGTTCACGTATATATTATTATTTCTATTGTATGTATTTTCTGTTTTATTTACTTGCAAAATAGCTTTTTTGGTGCCAAGTCATTTACATCTGAAATGTCAGTCAGAGTATCTTTTCTTTGGCATCTGTACAATCGGTACTTCTTCCCCTTTATGTCGCTCTCGTAGTTTTTTTTTTTTGTTTCCGTATGACTAAAAAATAGCGCTTATGAAAAAGCAAAATTACATTGACCGAATTTAATCAAAATTTATTTGGGAGGGGGGGGGTCAAAATGTCTTTTAGATATATCCTATACACCATACATGATTTGGTATATATCTAAATACATAAGGATGTCATTTTCCTGATGTCTGAGCTGAAGTTTTATCGTACTTGTGTTTTAAACGACTTAGTATAGAGAGTGGTACTACTTGTAAATAAATGTTTATGCATGTATTCGAATCTGATAGTTTCACTTAGTAAGCATAGCCTTATTTTTTTGTCATATAGAATTATAAATTTTATTTATCCATTGTTAAAATACCTTGTATAATTCGTTCATTATACTGTCTTTTGTTTTTAAAATGTTAGTGGGTTTTTTTTTCGAATAACGAGGTAATAATATTATATAGGCTTATAGTTATATTTCATTTACAATGGAAATTGTGGTTTTGATGACACAATATTCATGGTTTAAATTGGTAGACTTAAAGTTAAGATAAATTTAACTTCTAACAAAATCTATAGGCTATAAAAAGGTTTAAAGTGGATGAACAATTGTCAATGGATATTCATGTTGTAAAAGAAACAAGGAATGGCCACGATTTTATCCCTTTCTTCAGTTGTAAAACTTTGTAATGGATCGAGTCAATTCGGATTAATGTTGAAAATTGTATTACTTTACACATGCTTAATATGAGTCTTAAGTCCTGTCCTAAATATTCACGAATGGTTATGATTATATATAATATAAATATTATTCCAATGAAAAAGTACTAATATACAAAGTACATGCAATTATAATATATTGTTTGAAGGTAAATATTCATATCAATTTTGAAATATCTTAAAATGCTATTTGAGTATGAATACATTAAATTACTGATATCATCTCACAGTTCAGCAAAATTAATTGGCCCCTAAGATCTCCTGATTTTTTGATGTGTGACTTTTTCTTGTGTGGCCATCTTAAATGTAAAGTGTACAGTACTTGTTCAACAACACTTCTCTAGTTAAAGACAAAAATCCAAGAAGAAATTGCTTTGATTCTCATGAAAATGTTACAGAGAGTTATGCAAAACCACAAAACATGTTTCCCGGAATGTATACTGAGAAACGGACACTATCTTTCTGACACTATTTTCAAACTTCAAATTTTCTGTTTTGAACCTTAAATGCCATATAATGTATTTTATGTTTTCCATAATAAATATTTGAAATAATTTTTTAAACTTTTGTGTGAGTTATTTCATATTTACTTGTTACTTTGGTTTATTTTGTATTTAAACAAGTTTATGTGTTGATAAACTATTGCCGTACTGATTTTATACTTTAAATATCGCTGCTATTTCGTAATATTTATACTACAATTTTATCTATATAGATGCCATATTTATACTGATAAAATGTAAGCAAATAATTAAGTAGAAGTTAATATTTTGTGACATCAAGTTGTACGTTTTTTTGTCGTGTTCTATCAATGATAAGTCTTTGTAGCATAACTATAATGGAGTAGAAGATACATATTTGTTTACATCTTATTAATACGATATATCATGTAGAAGAGCCTGATAAAAATTTAAAAAAATAAATATTTTATCTTGTTGCAAAATATGTTTAAATTGTGTTGCGTATAATTTTTTTTTCATAACTTTTACATCGTAAAATAACTAACATGAAATTGAATTTATTATGTTTCAGTGTCTGAACATAGCAGAATATTTTCTGGCAATAACACACATACGGATTACTTTAAGACTTTACTCAGGGATGGTAACAATATATTAATCGGAGCCAGGTAAATTATTTATTTATATTTTTTATATTTTATTTTATAAATATATTTATATTTAAAAAATATTTAGATTTGGCACAAGGAATAGTATAATTAAAACATAATTATTAACATGTCGAGCGTGTTATTCACTTTCGCTACCCCAGTTATTCATTTGATTCATATTTTTTAGTATTAATGTAAAAATATAATTTTCTTCTTTGAGTAAATCTATAAAAGTTTTTCTTCAAATCCGACATCACTTTTATGTACTTCAATATTAGTCCGTGTTGTTGGTTGTTTGCAATACTCCATGTCACTTATTCTGATACTATATTAAATTATAGTAATGATAAAAAGTCATATTGCTTTTATACAGTTATCATCTCGAATTGTTCATTGTTCATGGTATTATTACTTAATGTCTTTTATAATTTTTGCTATTTTCGTTGACGCCTAAGCTTGTGCATAATTTTATAAAAATAATTACTAATAATTAATAATAATTACTGGTGTATGCCTTTATAAAGTAAATTAACACCTGTTATACGTTTTATCGTATTATATACTCATATGTTTTGTTTATTATATGTGTGTAAGTTGGTCGGGTTTTTACTTATTTACTTATTTATGTTGTCTCTTATACTAGGAAACTAAGGAAATTTTCAGATTATTAGACTATCACTGGGATTTTTGGTCTCGTCAGCAGCTTTATAATAATATCACTATCCAATTTTGTTTTAGCCATTTGAACTTTTTATATCCATATAAGGTATCTAGTATTTCACTGTTTAATTGCCCGAAGCTTTTCTCGAATTTTGTCATCATCGAAGCACAAATCACATGTCGTGTTCCAGGAGGCAGACGACATATACACATCTGCGGATCATTCGCAACAATATGTCAATTATGTTGTACTATAACCTTTATTTGAGCTCCATTTTTAAATGTTCAGAGGCATTTATGACATTTTAGAATTTCCATTTAAAAATGACTTTCTAATTGTCTTATAACTCATGTCGAAATCCCAGGGATATTGTTCTGAATTCATCTAGTACCCAAATAATCCAGGCAAACAATATTTGTCACTAAATTTACATTAAATTTGATAATATGTTATGTTCAATTCTTGATCTCAGCTTATATGTTGCAAGTTATATTATTATTATTGCACGTTTTCATCGTCAATGTGGGATCATCGAAATCCTCTACAATCTACAGAATTGGCCGTTCATATGATACATGTCCGAAACTTTGGAATCCTGAACACGTATTCTGTGGGTAAAAGGTGCAGAGGAGATCAGTTTCTCCAGTAATTGGCTTTTCCCTTCTTATACTCTATCTCGTATAATTCTCAATATCTGCAGGAACCATTAACTGTCCGGAGAATGCCCCGTGGATGGCGTTGCTAATTGACTATACATACAGTCACGTTACACCCAAAAAGGGGCGCTTTTAATGCATTTTGAAAAGTCAAGATCAAAAGATTAAGTGAACATTTCCTTTTAAAAAAGGTCTTAAGTTGCTGTAAGTGTAAGTGCAAGTTTCGATAGATGAAGGAAAAGAAAAAAATCACAAAATAATAGCTCTCTTATTTATAAACTATACAAGTTATACAATAAAAACATATATTTTTTTTTAATGCTATTAATATATCATTTAATACAATTTCTTTATTAAATTTAGTTTTATTTTTATTTGTATTTACTTTTGTAATTATATCAAAAATTCTGATAATAATTATAATATATTTATAAAATTACCATAGAAAAAGTTTTAAATAATAAAAGATGTTCTCAAAATAAATTTTGTACGTAAAAAAGTGACATTTGTAAATTTGTATAAGTACTTCTAGTATTAGTGATTTTAAAAATGAATGATCTTTTCCTTCCACTAAATATTTGTATGTTTTTATGTTTTTTTTATAGTGATTTGATCACCGTCAATAATTTATAAATATTTCCTATCTTATCTTCAATAATACATTTACTATATATTTCATTTATTTTAAAATAACTTATATTGATGTATGATATAATGTTTTTTGCTATGAGGAAAACACTAGAATAATCCCAGCGTCAGCCTAAATTTGATATATAATATATAATGATAAATTTACGAAGTATAATAATGTTGCTGTTACCTGTTATAAAATATTTAAGAATGAAATACCTTTGTAATTAATAATTTCATATCCGTAGCATAAAAAAAAGTAATTTAGGCCGTCTGGTAATTGTCCATAAGTGTAAAAACATGCATCTGGCAACCCCTCACAAGAAGATATGGTTATAATTGTATTAGTTTTTATTGTTCTAATTGTTTTGTTTTTTTTTTTTCGAGGTTCCTCCTCCACATTGCTGCACATTTTCATAAACACCTTTAATTATATATAAAAAAAAAAAAAAATTACTAATTTATTTTGTATCATTTTATTCCATTAATTTTATTTTAATTAACATTAGTTTCTTAGAACAATTATATTGGCCTCGGCTATATGTTGATGAATTTCCATCAGTCGATACATCATAGCAATAGAGTATGAGTAAGATATGTTCTATATGGTGGGTTCCTTATTAAGAAATATAACAGATAATTCCAACAGTTCACGATCATCGTTTCTTACGTGTTTATTTTGAATCAATTCCTTACAAAAATTGACTATTTCATTTAATTTTTTATCAGTATACCTAAGAATAATATTTGGGTTTGCTGTGATAAATTTTGACGGATTAATTTCTGACCAATAAGACTGAAATCGTATAAAAAGTCGGTTATTAGGTCCAGATGTAGCAGGAAGCAACACTGCTTGAAATGATGCTCCAATAACTAACTCAAATATATTATGCCTGCATGCTAGCTAAAACAAATTGTTTACAAGTTTACGTTCCAATACTAGTACACTTAGTATTTCCCAGTGTTTGAGGACGTCGTGTCAAAATACATGGCAACAATATTTTGGCTCAAGTTTCATTCTTGATCATTTAAACAATCAAAAATGGCTTGAGTCTGCACCTCTTCTATCGATGATAACAATTTTTTCATTTTAAGTAATTTGTCCTGTTTTCCTCCTGAAACCAATATTGGAAGGCGGGTTACATGCTCTCTGGATTTAAGATCAGACATTTTTTCCATCCCAGTGAACAGTTAAATTGCTATTTAATGTAAACGATTATTTTTTTAAAATTTGTTTCATTTTGTCACGATTTAGTTTTATTGTACTAGGACTACACGCGAAAGAATTAATATCTTCGACTAAACTTTTTACTGTAGCTCCGATAGTAAAATTTGCTTGCCGATCACTGACTTTAGTACTATTCAACGTAGCTGCTTATTCTGAGGTTATTAAAGGTGTCAATTTCTTCTTGCTTGCTATGATTTTTTTTGATTTTTTTTCTTCAACTTTGAAATCATCATCGGAATAATGGCGTATAAAGTAATATCATATTTATTGATATGACTGTATCTGAGAATATCATAAGAATAATAGTAATAAATAAGATAATTACAACATTAAGCTAGTATCGTATATACATATATATCGTATAATAAAACAAACTTTAAGTAGCTTGGGATGACTCAAAAAAATTTATATTATATTAATATTTATAAATAAACTATTTTTAGACTATGGATAATAACTTCAGGTGGTATGAGATTAAAATTGATGAGCATTGGTTTTTTAGATCACCCTAACACACACACACACACACACACACACACACACATATATATATATATATATATATATATATATATATAAAATATAACGTAAGATTAAATCTCGTATCTTTCTAAGCAAAAAACAAATGAGCCCTTAGACCCTTTGATGTGTTGATTTTTCATATTGTACGAAGAAGGAAGATTGGACGTTTAAACAATAACACGTCTGGTTAAAGCGACAAATGAACAGTATATACTCAATATGAAAATTTCGTTTGTTAAGTATTTCCACATTGCACATTTTGGTCAAATTATCAAAACTAATCAAAAGTGAAGCGATGGATTTTAGAATGCATTGTTTATATTTTTTTTTATTAACGGGAATATAGTATTGGTGTATTACAGGTAAATTTTAGTGTTCGAATTAGTAAAATTTGATGTACTAGTAAAGATTCTATAGTTGTGTCCACGACGTATTCTAACAATTAAGTGTATTTAGGTTATATTCAACGTGAGTTATATTTGTAATATTGATAAATCAAAATATCGTTTAAATGAGTATTGTTTATTCTTTAAGTATTGTTTTTAAAAATTATTAACTATTCAGTTTTAATATTACTATATAATATCTAATGCAATTTAAATATAATTTCTATAAAATAATGATAAATAATAATAATTACATCATAACTAATTATAATTAAAATTAATATAAATTATTTTGATTATTAAGTATTTATATGGTAATCAATTTTTTATATTTGAACACCTATTATAAAAAATTAACTTTAAAATAAATCATAGTCATAAATCATGTTTTAATAAACTTAAGTTTAAGCTTGAGTTATTTTAAATCTTTTTACTTAAATTTTATCTTTTATTTTTTTATAAACTAATTGACACACAGAAGTTCTGTTGAAGTATTTAAATTGTTTGAATAATTTCGAAATTGTGTAGGTATTATATTAGTTGATGGAAATGAAGATAACTGATTTGGTGTTAATGAACTCTAAACAAATGTATATTTTAAATACTACGTTGGTTACGTATTTAATGTATTGTGCATTTATATATTAATCAATCACTCAAAAAAAAATCTTTATTGTGCAATTATACAATTTTACTTAACATAAATTAAAGTTAATGTCTTTTTGACATTTGGAAAAAGAAAACAGGATTGTTCTTACTTTATAATATGTATGTGTAATAAGTATATCAATTATAATAATTTTCAAATGCTAGACGCAAAAATTGATAAAGAGTTGTACTTTTTGGGTTGGTTGTATCATGGAATTTTTCGTCATGGAATTTAAAGCTAACATAAAATAATAAATAACCGTGGTCACTCTATACGTAATCAATAATATCTCCCAAAAAGTTTACAGTGTCATTTTGATTCCTTAGGGTCATGGTTGACTCGCTCATAATTATTATCTTATGGTTATATGTTGTGTTTGTGTTTCTTTTCTCCATCTCTCTACCTTTCTATATATATATATATATATAGAAAATAAAATAATATAATATATATTATTTTATTTACTTTAGAGTTTGGTCAAAAGAAGGGTGTTCGATTGAAAAAGTGAAAATAACAATCTTACGAGCGTTGGGAGGTCCCCCAGCGAGTAAAGTCCCTTGACACCAAACTTGTGGCCAATATTGCTTATACTCTCTTCGTATCGCCTATATTATATATGTTAGAGCTCTGCAGAATCGGCTTCTGATAATTGGATCTCTCGGGGAAAAAAAAAAGCTTCTGACCGAATATTGTTTTTAGTGAGCTATTCTAAGATACTGGACAAAACCAACTTTTTCATTAATTTTTGGAAACTTTCAACTTAGTTATACTCTGTAGAATGCTTGTGAATTGGTAATTCCTTCGTTTTGTAGTAGTTATAAGTTCTTATTTTCATATTATGTTTGAATCTATAACATAATTTTTTTTTTATATACACATACACGTGTAATATATTTATATGAATAATTTTAATTAAAATAGTAAAAAATAAAAAATAAAGTTGTATTTTTAAGTACTTAGTTTAGGTAGTTTTATACTTAACTATTGTCCAGTTCCAGTTAAACGATAAGGTATGGGATTTTTTTCAGTTCAAATAAAATTATTTCTTGAAAGGTAATGACTGTATATGGGAGTTGTGTCTACAAATAACGTTATAAATATTTTATTGAAATTTTAAGTTTTTATTTAAATTTATTATACATATATATTTATGTATTTATTCAATTAAAATAATTGTATTGTTTGCAAGAAATCTTCAATATTATTATATTGATTTTATTATAGTTGGGTATATTGGTAATTGGCCTTTTATACTATTTTGGGTCAATCTACATAAATATTGAATCATTTTACATTTTAATTAAATTCTAATAGCCAATATGGTATGTTGTAATTTTATTTTTGAAAATTTAAGCGTATGTGAAATTATTCATATTGTAGGTTATATATCAAACAATTGAGGTATTTTATAATATTGTGAGATGTGAGAATAACAATTTTATTTTTTGTTTTTTATAGGAATGCAGTGTATAATATAAGTTTGGTTGATCTCTCTGAAAATCAAGTAAGTACTATAATGTTTAAAATCATTAAAACGCACAATTTTGGATTTCGAGTTATTTTGTACTATCATCTAACATCAACAAAACATTAAGTATTAGTTGTGTTTGCAAATGTTTGAATTGCGTGAACATCATAATTTGTTTTCTTTGCGTGTTTTTATGTATGTATTACGTTTTTGATGAATTTCTATATCGTCCAATATGTTTTTAACAATTTTTACTAAGAAACAGCTGTAACAATAATTTTGAAACGAATTGGTAGAAAATTGTGTTATATTTATTGTATACATTTAAGAAACTGTAAGTGTTGCAGTATTAATTACATAAGATATATGTAGGTAATATATATATTTATATATATAGTTTTTTATCCTACAAGAGTGTTCTGATCATCATAATATATTGCATGAACTTAACGCAGATAAAATAGATATTTTTTTTTATTAAAGTTAATTAATTATGTTCTTCGCGTATTTAATTTTATACTAAAATTATTATTATTATAAATTTCAATATAATTAAAAAATAATAATTTAAAAATGTTTATTCTGTAAATTATAGTTGAAATTTTTATCATTTTTGAGTTTTAATACACTACATAATAAACAAAAATTTTCACTTATCGTCCCTTTTTATTAAATTCCTAAGAAAAAGTATTTATTTGATTACGTTTAATAAAATATATTATTTATGCTAACTTGTTAATTTTATATTCTAAAATAAAATTATCAAAATTCTTTAATCATATGTATTTTTTTTACCGATAACTGTACGTGGAATAAATGAATATTTAATCTATTCTTTACTTTATCTTTCATTGTGTATTAAATATTTTAAGGTTATTTCTTAAAACATTGATACATAAAAATAAATAAATAAAAATAGTAAAACTCGGGCAACGTATAAGTAGATTTTTGTGTGTTCGGAAAAGCTCAACTGGCAACATCGTCTTGAGACGTTAACAACTATAGAGGGGGACGAATTATCGATCGCGACAGACTGAAAACACTATACAGGCGGATTCAAAAAAACCTCAAACTCGAACGTTATAAATATTTTAAAGAACACACTTTTGTGTAGTTAAACTTATTTCAAACTCTGTTAAAGTAAAAAATATTTTTTAATTCAGTTCAAATTAACTGCACCGTGTGATCAGATTTATGTTCTCAGCATTTACTGTAATTGGTTGGAAAAAATGTTATTTTTTTATGCTTATCTAATTACTTATTATGAGTTGACAAAGGCTATTATATTTTTATTATTCATATTTTATTATCAAATAATGTAAACGTATAACACGCAAACATCCGCATTTTATTATTCTACTCCTATTAAGTTAGCAAAAATATAAAGAGTCTAAAGCTTATTATTCTTTTTATATTATTTAAAATTACTTTTGTTGGTAAATTAAACAACTTTTAATCAGTTTTTTCAGTATATTTAAAATGAAAATAATGCTTAGTACCTAACCAAAAAAATGTATACATGAATATTATTATTAAAAAATATTATAGTTGGTTGTATAGATTGAATATATATGTTAAATGTGTCATTCTTCCAATGAATTGCCTACACATAAAAATAAAGCAATATTGGTTCATTTGTTTTAGGCATTTATATAATATTACACGTACATCAAAAATTGACTACAATATATTGATACGTTTTTTAAAAAATAAAATTTAACAATTACTTAACTTTTAAATAAATTAAAATAATAACATATTTAATTTAATATGTAATCTTGCAAGTCATAAGCATGTACATTTATTTAAAAATAAATGATTATCTCTATAAATATCTTGATGTATCGTTATATCAGTAAATCCTTTTGAGAAATTCTGTATAATATTATGCAAGTACAAAAATGAATATCCTTACATTTGAATCTGATATTTAATATTTTTTTGGTAATGATTATAATGATATTTATTTAAAAGAGAGTAAAACGTTTTGACTTGTTAGTATAAATTATTTTATGAATAGTTTGTTCATGAAATTGTGTAGATACTTACATCGTCGCAGTATTTCAGTTTTGCGTTTAAGAAAAGTGTACAAAATAATAATAATAATTATTATAATAATACGTTGCAGCGTTTACCCTAAAGACAATTGGAATTAATTTATGAGAACATTATAATAATAATTATTACTGAAATGTGTATTGCCTTTTGGTTATAATAATGAGCTTACGACGATATAGAAGTTTTTTTTTATGAGAAGTGGGGAATAACAGATAAAAATTATTCTTGCAGAAAGGTTGTTGGCGTTGGTTGCGATTATCAGAGTAAACGACCATCGACAATGTTGTTTCCTATTTTTGTAGCTCAGCGTTCTTTACTGACCATCGACAGCCATTTTGTTTTTATGTCGAGCTCCTATTGATGCGGTCCAGCTTTTACCAACGTTATCGTAGAACAATTCCGCCATTGCTATACGGATATTACAATATTCTTTTATTTCATGTATGAACACAATAACTGTAGTTATTTCGATCTAACATTGTATTTTACTATGCTCTCGTCAAGTTATGTGATAATAAAATAAGTAATTGTAATAATAACTGGGGATTCTGGTAAAGGTCTTATGATATTGCCAGTCCAGATGGATTTATTCTAATTGCCATTTTACTAAAAAGAGAATAGCATTGTATATTTTTAAAATGGTGCAGTGTAGCTGCACATTTTAAATATTGATATATATTTTTATTAAATAATTCTTTCGACTTTATATTTGAGTAAAGTAAAAACACAAAGTATGAGATGAAATACTAATAATATTATATAATTGAGATTGTATTGATCTTTATGGGAGGGTTCATACAAATTTATAAAGAAAAATGGGAGTGTACTTTAATCATTAATATTTTTAAAATTTTCTTTTTAAATTAATTTGTTCAACTATTATAATATATATATATATATATATATATATATTATACGTTTTTATAAATAGTAAAATTTAAAAAAAAAAATCATTCTTACTAGTAAAATAAATTGTTCAGTTTCTGTTAAAATTAAATAAATGTATACTAGGAATATTTTCGTGGAGTATGAATTTTAAATTATAATATTCTGATAAATAATTATACAATCAAAGAATATAATATCCAATTAAATGTTATAATCGATGGTTTTATTTTTATCTAAATATTTTATGTTATAAACCTTAGTTACTGCGTTGGCGTATTATGATATTATTCGTTATGTACATTCATCATTATTAAATGATTTGGATTGTGTTATGACAATAGTTCGCGAACGCACGGAAATCATATTTTAAATTCATATAAAATGTATATTCGTGCAACTGCATGTATGTGTATCATTTATTTATATCAGTGGACACATCTAGTTTTTTTTCGATATTTTTGCTTTTTGAACAATACATTTAGCTATCGAACTTTCAAATGTCATTCATTTGTCTCGTCGTTCGCATTAATTTTTCTGTTGTCTGCGACGACGATGGCGGAACTGACCGTTCATGCACATAGTGGAATTGGAAAGAGGATGTGAGGAGCAAATTTATAACGCACGTTTCGTGCATAATTAATGGCGTGTTCGATTTTCCATGCCAAAAACTGTTTTTCGCGCTAAACGGATAGGGTGAGTGGTTACCCTATAAATGGCAAAGAGGGAAGGGTGAAGAGATCGGATGCTGTATGTGCATTTCACATAAATATAATGCTACTGCTATTGCTGCATGTACATAGTGTTTATGTGCGCGTGTATGTGGTTGCTGTGTCCTATATATAACGTATAGTATACAGGTATATGTGCGCAGAATATTGTCAACACGAAATGCAAATGTTTATTCGACCTATCCGCCCCCTGGACGACTGGCCGGTTGTCCGGTCGGCGCTAAAGGTTCAACCCTAATCGTAACATGCTTGTGGGTGCGCGTTTAACAAATATAATAATAAGTGATCACGGCACCCAATATTTTAGCTGTATACATCTATCTTGTTGTACACACGTGTTGTTGTTAAAAGTTGAAATTAATCCATTAAAAGGTTTTTCTACAAGCGTCCGCATACGACGACTGAGTGAATAAATCACTAGCGATTAAACAGAGAAAAGCAATCTCATATTATGATATGTAATCGATACCGCGCACCATTATACTCAAACAACTTACTTTTTGCACCAAACATCCGTCGAAATGAATGTTTTTACACTACCGGTAGCTCGGTGTACGTGATTCGTGTGTTATATTATATCTGTGACTGTGCGCGTAAAAATGATCATCCCAAATTTTGAGTATAATTTAAAACGGTGGTGCATATGGTTGTAGTCGTTCTCTTGTAAATTGCAATCCGCTCCAGGCATTTCGCCACATTGCGTTGTATACTCTTCTCGTGAAGAAACCACCGACGATGTCATGAAAAACAGGAAGGTGGTTAACGTGGAGTTAGCACATAGTGTAGATGACGTGTATATCTATATGTATTCGCCATCTGTTTCAAGGAAGTTTTATTCACACCAAACTTTGTAAAAATCTAAATTTTCCTCTCTGTACAACCCTCTTCTTCTTTCTTAACTTTGTCTCCTTTATTAAAATTCGCGTTTCGAACAAATGAATTCACCCAAGTCACACGCTGCACGGCGGGTGCGTAATGATAATAAATACGTGTACATTTTACACGATATGTCGTTTAGTGCTGCGCGATACTCGAGTGCGTGGGCTTTTGCTTATTTTTCGTTTTCATTTTTTCCCCTTTAAACGCATAAAATATTATATTTGAAGAAATCACGTCAATATTAAAAAAAGTGTGAAAAAACTTGGTCTATTTTGTCGATTTTGTTATGATAATAATGTCGTAACCGTTTCCCTAATGGCTGCTGGTGGCGATGTAGCATAGAACCTGCGTTTTTCCGGTGCGATAAAGAACGTATAGTTCGCTGTTATTCGTCTTTTTCTCTCTTTCTCTGTCTCTCTTTCTCTACTCTCTTACTTTCTTTTTACTTCTCTGACACCCTCTTATCCGCCAATCCTTCTTTCCCATTCCTAAAACGAAAAAAATATATATGTGTCTATATAATAAATCACTCTCTAATGTCATCCGTTTTGCATACGACAAGACTATGGATTCCCTCCACCACGCACGCCATCGTTACGTTCCGCGTGAGTATAACATATAAACAACAATAATGTTTCCACACAATCGCTTAGTGATGGTAACGATGGTGGAGGGATTGGATAGAAGGAAGAATTTAAGATTAAGTCTTTCCCTTGACTAATCTCGTAACTTTACGCGTCTATATTTATATATTTATTTGCGTTATAAATAATGGCTCCTTTTAAAATCAGCTACTAATACTATTCTCTTATTTTCTCTCTTTCTCTCTATCATCTTTGAATTTAATGGTCTTACATGCTTAGAAGTGAACTATCACATATTTAATTACATTTATTGTTGGATACAATTGGTAAATAATATATATACTTGAAAGTTTACTGTAGGCAATAATATTGATATGAAACACTTATGTATAACAATTTAGTAAACGAGACCGCAAATATATGAATACATTTTTATATTTTACATTAGTTATAAAAAATTAAAATAGAGCATTTTATTTTCTTTATTTTTAAATAACGTTTTGAGATACTCCTAGATTTGTATTTTATAGTTATTATTATTTTGTACTGTATTTATCATTTGTGTGCTGTAACATAACTATGCAGTTGCAAAACAACTGCATAGTTATGTTACAGCAAAATTATTTAAATTATTTAAATTATTTAAGTTTCGAATATAATTTGTTTACAAAAGTACTTAGAGTTCACCTGATAAAAGAGAATTGATTTACCTTCATAATATTGACTTAATTTAGGTACTTAATCAACATGTGCTTCAAGGTATATTTCTGTAGTCTGCAGAATAACATAATGTTAAAACAAAATTCAAAGATAAAATTTCTTTTTTGATGTACACTTACACAGTTAAACTTCATTAAAATCTTAATGGTTCTTAACATAATTATTTGGTTTAATATTATTTTGGTTGTACTTATATATTATATTTATTAAGCAAATAGCTATTATTAACACGTCGCATCATCACTAGATACTCAGCCTTGGAGTCGGGTTGTGGTTGTATATAACATAGTATATTCAATAAAAAATAATAGTTATTTATTTTTATCTTATTTTTATTTTATTATTATTCAACTCAGTTGAAATCCAATCAAACAGTTTACTCGCAATTAATTTATACTGACATTTATAATGCTTATCGTTGTTAGGTTTTTAGTATAAAATACATCAAGACAAGGAATTTTTATGATTTTCAAATGATAACTTTACTGAGATGTATTTTTGACAGATCTATAAAGGTTTTTTATTTTTTTTTTGCTGTTGACCAAACTAGTAATAAGTAGATAATAACTAGTAATAATTTCCTATCATATATCTCTTACGATGGTAATAATCGATACAATATTTCTTGTTGAATTATAAGAAGTATATTACCGTATATTGTACGTATATTGTATATTACTTACAAGAATAATTTATATAGATAAACGTTTTATTTAAAAATGTATTGCCATAGTTACAGGTTTTGGAAGAAATTTAAAATCTAATGATATCATTTATTATTTAGCTTTTTATGATTTCATATAAATATAAATATTTTGTTTTGAATACTAAAACAAATTGACAATCTTGCCTAACATTATCTAAACGTTATTTTGTATAAGAAAAAAACAGTAATTAAAACAAAGTAAATTTGTTTAAAGCTTATATAAGGCGTTTTGTTTGAGCTACACCTATTGGAAGTATTTGAAATTATCAAAGTTTAATAATAAAATTACATTATAAACCCTGTTTAAATATAAAACATTATTATAATCTCATTTTAGTTTATAAAAAAATATTCAGTTATTATTTAATGCATTTTTAATCAATGGATTTTCATTATGATAAATTTGTATTTATTTATATTTATGAATTTCAGTAGTTACAAAATGTAATTTTTACCATCGCTAATGTACTTATGATATTTTGTCAAAAAATAAAAGGAGGTTATTGAAAAAAATGCTGACCCGCTGTTACTTTATTTAGTTTACATTTTTCATATACTACTAATTTTTATTCAAAATAACGCATTACTTTAAAATTTTTTTGTTATAATAATATATAATATATTTTTTTTTATGAAAATTATAATATTTTTTTTTAATTTTATATTAATTATAAACTAGTTTGACCACTATATGTGCTCTTAATCCACTTGAATATAATGTGTTTCTTATTATGATCATAGGTGTTTATAAGTTAAGTTTTGATAGAAGGAATGATCAGAAAAAAAGTCGTATATTTTTATTCTAATTTCATATCTTAGTTACAATAATAATGTTATTTATTGTACTTTAAGGTCATATTTTTTTTTCGGATAAGGGAATTACCTACTCCCTCCCCATTGGATGTCCATTATTATGATTAATATTTAATTTTAATATGTATTTAATTTATTTTAATATTCGGTTAGTTAACTATTAAAAGGATTTCTAAAATCATATGTCTTGTAATATAGTTAGTTGGAAAATTATGTCAGCCCATGGTTGTCCAAAAGTTTTGCATACAGTTTAAGATGATACGCCCTTTGCAGAAAGGGATTTCATGTTCATTATACTAGGACATTTAGACGAAGAATTTCTTGGTCATGATGACAGAGGAAAAGGGTAACATTTGCCGGATTTCTATTTTCTTTTGGTAGGTAGAAGCTTTCGGCAAAGTTTACTTCACTTAACCCTTGTCTGTTTCTGACATAATATTTATAAATAACGAGCTTTGTAGATTTTTAAAATTACTTAACTTCGTTATAGTGACAATGGAGATTTACTCATTAAAATTTAGTGGATATGTTCTATTTTATCATCCTTTATATTAATTAATAGTGTATGTACAGAGCCATCTTTGACTATGCAGAGGATCTTCGGCTCACATTATTTAGGAGTCCTTTTAGAAGCAAAAGTACGATTATTATATCTCATTATCTAATAATTTCCAAATTATAAAAAACATTTGATATTTGAAACGATATTTTTAGACATCTATTATATACCTTATATATTTTTACTTCTTTGTTCAAAAACTTATTATATATATTATTTTATCACGGAAACATAACAATAAGTTACTTTATAGCAGAATGTAACGTACGCCGATAATTTGTTGTTATTCAAATTTATTGTTAAATATGTAATCGTTGTATTTATAGCTTTTAGATTTTATATTTAATATAATTGATTATTATTTTCAAATTATAACTTTTTATTTGAGTTTGAAAATCATATATTTAGTTGAAATAGGTTGTGCCAATATGTTAAATCGTATAGATGTAAATTATATTTTTCAGGGCCTTCGTTGGTCGGGGTCCTTGAGCTCGTGCCTCACGTGCTATTAGAGTAAAGATGCAATTGTATTTGTATATTTTATTTATAGTAAACATGTACATGTATTATTATATTTTCAATTTAAAATTACAAGCATGGTACTCTGAAAAATGTTAAGTGTTGGTTAATATTGGTTGATATCTACATTATAACGGTAAACTTTTCTAAAGGTATGCACAAAGTTTATTGTACAGCATAAATTGTTTTACATGAATATTTAAACTTAAATCGATATATTACTATCAAAGTACATATAAGTACCCATAATATACATAGTACATTTTTAATGGTTCATTATGAACAAATTTGAGATTTGTACCTATATGGTTTTTATTTTTATTTTATTTTTTCATTTTCAGAGATTGGAATGGCATTCAACTGACGCCGATTATAAAATATGCTTAGTCAAGGGTAAAGACGAGGTAAGATATTTATTTGGTTTAAATTTTTAAAATTATATTGTTTACATTTTTAACATTATTGTGAAATCCATTAAACTGGAATTAGGAACTACTTTGTGTAAATAATAAAACTGAAATCCAAACTAGAACCTAATAATATCAAAACAAATAGTTTTAGTGTTTTTAGTTTTTGACATGTGTTGTAATATACATCAATTTTATATACAAGTATATGTAGTACGTAGGTTAACTTTTATGTATACGTAAATTATGATGAATGGATGATGACGGGTCGATTAATACTATTACTATGAATAATTTGATAGCTGCCTTTGACGTTATATATTTTTTATATATAATATAAAAAAGTAATCCGATTCAAACATTTATGACTAGAAATAGGTGAAATATAATTTAATCATATATATGAAAATATAATTAAAATGTTATTAACACTTATAATATTCAAAATGTGTTATTAACCGAAATCAGAACTAAAATATATTTTTCCAATTATTGAACTGCTACTGAAACCGAATAAATGTTAAGATTCCGAATCCTGAAGTCGAAATTATTTTCCTTTTTCATGTTCCCTATTGCGATAAAATTGTTTTCTGTCAAATATAAGACTTCGTAACATAAACAAAATTATTGAAACATATATTACATTTTTATTACAATATTGTATGATATTTTATTATATGCTCTCTACATTTTTATAGAAAAAAAAAAAAAAAAAAAATTATATATTTGACATAAATAATATTTTTTCTCACATATGATATATGAAACCGTTTTATTAAACAAACACCATGGTTTCTACCAGGGTATTGAATTTGTTCAGTAATGGTTTTCATATAGTGCCAAAAATAAAAAATATCAGTTGTCACTACCAAGTAAACTGATGAGATGATTTAATCCTCTATTGATTTTAGTTTACTCATATGTCTTACTATATTATTGCATTGATGCATATTTGAATGTTATTCTTCTATTTTCTATATTATTTGAATTCTGGTAGGTGTTAGATCTTTGCGTGATAATTTTATTAAAAAAAATATTTAATTATTTTACCTTTCTTTTTAAAACTTCATTGATTATAATAATATTATGAAGAAATTAACGATTTTATTAGTCATCTTTTTATCTGTTTCGTTTTATTTTTTATGATATTTATTTTATAAATTTTTGAAGTTATAATTTGAAAGTTTCTTTACTTATTTATTTATTTGTATTCTTTGCGTAATTCATCTTGTATATAGAAATTATGTATCTAAAGTTATTAGTCAAAATACTTGGAACTTGTCAAAAACTGTTCAACGATTCATCTAGACTTGGTTACAGTTTTTTCACTTGCATTTCTTTGCTTCCTAGCTTATAGTTATCATTAAATATGCCCTTCGGCACTAAATATGGTGTCATCTCCGGGTACTGTCGATCAATCAACAAACCCAAACTACGCCTCTCTAGACTCTGAACTTGAATAAGTATTTTACGGAGGGGTAAAGACACTTTTAAAGTTTAATAAGATGTGATATTGAGCTTTTCTACCGAAAAGGTTGGATTAGTATGAAACGTGAAAAAATAGTCATCCATCATATGTGTCTTCAACATCATCATTACCTGTGACTAGGAATGATATTTACTTCAACTTATGTTTCCATTGTTTTTATTATGAAATCATTCAAAAAAAAATTTCAAATTCTTTATCAAAGTTTATACTATTGAAATGATTATTATATTAAGATTATAATACTACTATATTAAATTATATTTTTATTTATTTTTTTTTTATTTGTACTGCTATAATTTGTATTAAATACTATTTTGTTTGGAAGTTTAATTTATTTATTAATGACTGAATAGTATTTTATGCTTATAAAGTATTAAATTCTACGTTTTAGAAATTAAATGATGCAGAATTTTTTTCATTAAAATGTTTTTTGTTTTTGTAAATATTTCATAATTTGAAATTTAAATAAATTATTTATGATAGGTAAATTGATTATAATTACTGAATTTTTATAAAATGTTCGGGGTATAAATGTTAAGTGATGTATAAAATTATTCTATTTTTACAATGAATTAATTACATATTTCATTACATGAAATTTAATATCCAACCTTAAGTTTTCAATTTTAATGAATCAATTTTTCTTTTAATGTTATAAGAATTTATTTTTAACGGAGTAGTTTTATCATTAAAAATATTTTTTTTAAAATATATGCTTTCAAATTAATTTTAATCTAAAAAGAGTAATTTTGCAAACTGGAAGAATTTTTTTTTTTTTTTTTGATTTATAATCAGAACATAGTAGTAATACATGTTATTAGTGTAGTGTAATGTCTATTGATATAAAATTTGTTTTATATAATTTTAGTGTTTTTTCTATACATATTCATTCAAATTGTTTATACATATTTATAATGGTTCACCGATGACTCTACTTTAGAAAACATAGTAATGCATAAATTTTTGTTTTTATAAAGTAATATTGTAACACGGCGCTTTGTATAGTCAAATGTGATACATATATTCGTATGTGTTATTTCGATTGATAGAAATGTTACCTGTCTACAGTATTATGATTATTTTGAAATTAGACACTCTTTATATTCAAATAATTGATATCATAAAAATATGTATATTACTTTTCAAAAGTTGTATTGATAAAATAACTGTTATTTTAGAAATGTTGGAATTTCATGGTATCTGTAATGCAAAAATGTTTTTATCGGTACAATATTTGCACATGGTTTTGTGTTTTTTAAATACTTTTTTTTTTATAAAACAAAAAATACATAAACTTTTTTATTACATTTTTTCTTTTTTGCTGACAGCTGATAATTAATGAGTACGATAAACATAGCTGCTATTCGTTAACATAACTGTGTGTTAATTTTGTCGATCCTGACAGTCCTGAATTGTTGGATTCATTAATAATTTAATTCATTATTAAATCTAAAGGCTATTGGTAATGATAGATTGTGTACTTTACAGTACGAGTCACTCAATTATATATACGGAATGTATGCTATTAGTTTTAAAATGGGACCTGATGTCCAGCGAAATAAAATTGATTCAACCATATTTTAATCAATTATTTCCATGTATAAAACTTACAAGTATAATTGATAGTAAAACTGTTTTAGTGTTTATTTAGTTTAAATAAAAAAAAAAAAAATGCATTTACAACGGTTATTGCTGCTGTAAAAAAAATATTGATTTGAAAATGTTTTGGTTTTTACTTAATATATTATTAACTAAAGGTATACTATAATTACTTTGATGTATACTTAAGACTGGAATAAAGTCATAATCAAGAAGGCTACTCAGTTGGTACTCATTTTCATACAAGAAGTAAAATTTTATTTAATACATTTATTGACAATCATAAATATTTTAGAAGAATGAAAGTTGTTTATAATATATCGTTTCAAAATAGAATTAATTTTATAAAGAAACTGATCTATATTACAATTATATGTGTTTTGGTAGTATAATTTTATTAGCTTGCATATTTACGGTAAATTAAAATTTGATACGTACATAGCAAAATAACTAAGTTGTCAATTATTTTATAGTAAAATTATTTTTTTAATACATTTTCATACATAAAATTTATAATTTTACGTGCAAATAAATTATGCTACATATTTTAACATGTAATTGATAATGAAGATTAAGTAAAAAAATTACACTAGAAATTTCATACATCTTTACATATGTAACTTAATATATTATAAAATGTGATGTCTATTGTAGTGTATATAATCATTAACTACAGTTTTCTCTCGAATTAACGGTGAATCTGGGTTCTTCGTTATTGGTAGCTTTTGAATGGGCGACTATATGATCGTTTAGCGATCACACTGTTCTGCTCCTTAACATGTTTCAAACATGAATAATAAACTTAAGTTATCATAATGATTATTTGAATTTAGTTATTATTATTATTGTTTATATTTTTTTTTTCAAAGTATTGGACGGTTTAAAAAGAAAGTATGAAAGACAAAAGCCAATAAGGAAGAATATCCTATTTCCCCTTATATTACCAAGAATAGACGTATTATTTTATTTTTCTACTACAATATTTCATTTTTCTATTTTCAAATATTTATCATTACTTTTCATTAGAGCAGAAGAATTATATGCACTTGGTAAATCCTAACTATGTTAATCTTAATTGTTAATTTAAATTGGTTTTCAATTGCTATCGAGTAAACAAATATTTTTGCTTATATCAAAATGAATATCTATATTTATTTTGATATTTTTTTAATTTCCATAGTATATTTGAATTGATGATTTTAAAAATGTCATGAGTAACATATATTATTTATCTAATAAAAAAAGTATGCCTAAAGACTTTTTTAACTAAATGCATAGAAACACTTGATTAGTATACGTTTTTACTAATATCTTAATTTCATAAAATATGTGACTCATGACGTTTCTTCAATCATAGATTCATTTATGTAATTTCCATTTACTGTATAATTGAAACGTATTGCTTTTATAACTCTTAATTATTTGATTTTTTTATATAACTGTTACTTGTTTATTTATATTTCAAAATTACAGAAAATATACTGAACACAACATTTTGTTTTTAGAATAGGAATAAAATACTATATAAATTTAGAATTTTACTTTTATTCTTTACAAGTGTATCAATGTATTGATTACTAATGTGTACCTGTAATTAATATATATTTTTTGTTTAAATAATTGTTTATGAAATCTGATATTAATTTTGAAATTTTGAACTTGCTTGTCTAAGAACGCGTATATAATAAAAAAAAAAAAAATCGCCGTGACAAGAAACAAGCCTCGTGGGAGTCGTTTAAGCTTTGTTTCATGCACATACTTCTTTAATTTATTTATCTTTATTATTTTGTCAGTTCGAGCATTTATGAATATGTATATAAAAAGCAGAATAATAATAATATTTTTAATAACAATAACGAGCGTTGGTTTTAATATTTCTACAAAATAATCTTACCGACACATTAGTTTAAAAATTATGTAACTACAAACTAATGCAGGAAAAATAGGCCTGAAATTCTTCTACTTTTATGCCGATAAAAATAAAATATTGTTTCCTTAGTTAGTATAACATTCATAATTAAATATATTATTAAAGATAATATATTTTTTAACGTCTCATTTGCATAGTTGAAAAAATATTTTATTAATTTTTAAAAATAATTGTAACTGTTAACGTATTAAATTTAGAAATAACTAAATTTTTGATAAGATATAACATTTCATATGAAAGCTAATCATAGCTTTTATTTTTTTTTAAATGATTACGCCTCGGTTTATTAAATTACCTTCATGATTTTCAGGCTGTTTCTTTTTAATTTTTTTTTTTTAATTTTATCATTTATGAATGTATAGAAAATGATAATAAGTTTTATTATTTTTGCAAGGAAAAAATAATAATATATGAAGTCGTGTAGTCTAAGAAACTTTTAAAATAATAAAGCTAATTGATTTATAGCATTGATCCAATTGAATAAAATTGAAAATTATTTTCATCCTATGTACATACTTTTAAAACCAATAGTTTCTATGTTTTGGCTGTCAAATATTCTAAAACTAGTTGTCCTGTTAATGAATTAACAATGAATATTGAACATCGAGAGTTTCCTAAGATTATTTTATCAAATATTCATCATAATTGTACAGAAATAATAACTGTTACCAAAACATTAAATTTAGTGTTCGTTCAATTCAGTTTTCTTAGTACTAACTCTCAATTACTGTTATCCATTAGAATTATTCGATTTCTGATTGATTTTTTTTATTTGGGCTTAAATCCTTAAATGGTAGCCATTGCAAATTAATCATAGTTAAACAGCTATTATGCCATTACAGTGCATTGTGTTTCAATTTACAGTGTGTTGGTTGTTACATCATGTATAGTTGATAGTAGACTTGCCAAACGAATAATATATAATATTGTAGAGCGAACGCATAACAACGTATGTTAAATATATATATATATATATATATATATATTATGAAAATATAATGTAGATATAATTATATATCAACATTGATATATAATCAACATTGGTCACTGTGTTGGTAATTTTTTATTACATAATTTACTTTGCTCAAGATACGATCAATAAATAGAATATCCTATAAGTATATAGGACTTATATAAACTATAAGTATTTTATTTTAAAGTCGGAGCAAATTATACTTAATAGCTATAGAAAATTAAATTTTTGGTTAGTATCCATGTCTGTGTGATTTTTTTGATTTTTACTTGGTATTTAACATAAAAATATCATAATAAGAAAATAGGCTTACTGAAAATGAAATTTTCTGAAAAATTAATGATGAAGCAGCTTTCTTTTTCTATATATATCTGAACATTTGTAAGATCGATTTGAAAAATATGTATATATATGTATGTATGTATGTATGTATGTATATTAATTTATAATTTATAAATACTATTATTATTGTTGCTTTAATTGTTTATTAATTTAAATAAGCTCTATGGCAGTGTACTCGTATACTGAATTTATTAATCAGAGTATTTAAATTTTTTTTTGGCAATTTTAAAATTCATAAACCCCACTACAGTTATAATCTTACGATTTACGGTTTATAATTGTATTGTGTTATATTTGATATTAATTGTAGTAAAATGTTCCTTGATCTAAAATATTAAATTGTTTTACATTTTATATATATTTATTTAATATTATTTTATATATTATAATAATATTATATTATTATATACATTGATATTAGAAAATTACATTTTAATGGGAAATATTATTTTAGAATTTGACTAAAGTGAGGACAAATTGCACGACATAGAAAGTTTTGGGTTAAATATTCCTATAACTAGGATTCTTCTGTTCAAAAATAGCCAAAACCTCATCAATAAATTTCAGCTGCACATAGTATCATCAATCACATTCCCTGTAAAACTAAACGTGACCAGAAAACCTTCATTGGAAGAAAAAAAAAAGACGATGAAAGTTAAATATAATTCTATAAGAATATTGTTCAATGAAATTCTACCATAATATTAATGACGTGCATTTATTTGTAAATTACTACAATTTCTCTTGTTAGTCTACAATTGAAATAATATTACATAGTCTGAGTATATCCGGTTATTATTAGTGAAACTAAACTTTTCACTTGGAGTTATTTATATTCAATCATTATTTGAATTGGTTAAATATGCAACTGACAATAATTATTATCATTATGTGTAAGATATAAGTATATGTAGGGCATACGTGTTATGCAATTTACCATCTGAATATTTAAATTATGAGGAGATTTATTTAGACAAGAGTAAAATTATATTTTTATCTCTTATTTGACAAGGTTATTTTTTATTAAAATGCTGAGTTACTATTAACATAAATTAAATATTTTCATTTTCATACAACATTTAATTATTTATTATCATTTAATTTAGATTACGTTAATAATCAAGTATACCCATATTTATTTTAACAACACTCGTTTGCTCATCTTTGAATATTTATTTTTGTTCTCAGGACAATTGTCAAAATTATATTAGAGTGCTAGCGAAAATTTCTGCTAACCGTCTCCTGGTATGCGGTACGAATTCGTACAAGCCTCTTTGTCGAGAATACATTATAGAGGTAAGATGTACCAAAAGACTTAAAAACTTAAAATTAAAACTATTTCATATAAACTTTATACACATTTTTATTTCTAGCTGGGAAAATATGTCATGAGTAAAGAAAATCCGGGACAAGCGGTATGTCCATATGACCCTAAACACAACAGTACATTCGCATATGTCGGTAAGTGAAAACATTGAATTTGAACATTGTTTAAATATTTCAGAAGCTGAGTACATATCATTTTTATCATTAGGATTGATTTTTTCTATAACTATGAATATAAGTTAACTTAAGTCTTATGAAATAAAAAAATTAATAAGTGTAATCAAAATGTGCTTTCTAAATAAATTGACATAAAGAATATCAATTTTAATTTCAGTTATGAAGGATTTATAACAGTCGTGACTAAATTGTAGTAAATTTAGTATTCTTAATAATGATTGTTTAATTTTGTATAATAAAGAAAATATTTATATTTCTTTTAAAGTTTTCATAAAAAATAATTATGTTATTTTAACCTCAACAGGTGAGCATTTATAGTGGTATCATGTTATTCCAAAATTACGTTTTCGTTTTTTTTAATTTAATTAAATTTTTTTTTCTGTAGAATAAAATTTATCTTTTTTAATTTAAAAATAAACTTTAAAGTTTAAAAATCAAAATGAGTATATTAACTTAATCATTGTTTTTAGAAATAGTAATAATTATTTTGTTTAATGTAGAACTAAATCTAAACCGTTTATCAGTCAAATTAAAAAATAATGCATTTAAATTTAATTTTAGATAATTTTGATTTAAATTGTTTTAAAAATTACTTAATACATTTGCAGATCGTAAATGTACCAAATTTGGTATTATTTATATGTATTTGTATATTTTTTTTTACTTTAGATGGAAATTTATTCTCCGCCACAGTAGCCGATTTTTCTAGCATGGACCCTATAATTTACAAAGAACAGTTACAGACCGAACAGTATGACTCTTTGAGTTTGAATGGTAATATCAATATTTCACTTTCTTTTGCTCTCATTATATACATACGCATGTATATATTTATACTTATATATTGTGTATGTTATATTCAAGTGTCGAACGAATAAGGACAGTATCTTAATTTTCTATGACATTGACAAGTTGTTTTTTTTTCAGCTCCACATTTTGTGCATTCCTATGCTCATGGCGATTTCGTCTACTTCTTCTTCAGAGAAACAGCTGTCGAATATATAAACTGCGGAAAAGTGAGTTATTATTATTTATTTTTCTCCTTCCCCGTTTTCCATAAATTTGTGTAACGAATTGGACCTATCTGACCCATGAAATGGCGGCTTTTTTTTTCATTTGATTCTTATGACAAATTACGGTAAACCTACCAAATGTTTCCCGAACTTTATTTTACCTATTTTGATTATTGAGTTGTACTGTTTCTATTAGGTTTGCATATTGTTTTTGTACTATTCAAACAGTTAAAATGAAAACAATAACTACTGCGAGCTTGGTAAAATGATTTATTATCAGATAATTTTCAAATGGTATGAAGTCATTCGATATATTTTTAAGCGAGTGTGATTATCTTAGTATATTAAATTCACCAGTGGGTTTATACGTAAGAGTTATGAACATTGCTTAAGGGATTACTCGAGTTGGCGGAAAATTGAGATGGAATATTCGGTTTAGATAACGTCAAACAGCTAGGCGACATGTTTTGTCTATTATTCGACATGGGTGGGTCGATTTACGCAAACACGATTTATCCATAAACTGGAGCTGAGTCTGAGCAGTAACTCGACGAATCGGTCGTCTTGAGGCTATGTTATTTACGTATGTCTACCGATTTACTGAGAATCTATGGATAATATGCAATCTGATAGTGCGCATCAGCTACAGAAATCACTTTCACGGAAGTACGAGTTCCACATTTTTTTTTTTTTCATATTATATACACTGTGTAGAACTACTCTAACCAATCGGAGGAGAAAATGATAATATAGCTTATTTTATATACTTATAAATATTGTTTTGATTTGCCTTTAATTTTAACAAAAATCACTATAAATGTAATTCCAAAACCATCATTTCATTAAATTACAAAATTTAATTTCATACACTATGAAGTTGACAAACAGTTATTGTTAGTCTCTATTCGACCGAAAGTAATTTCGGCTAACATAGGTTGGGCACTGATAAGTGATAATACTAGCCGAGCTCAACTTGTTAATAAACAAATATTAAAAATAGTTTTGATATTATAAATCGAAATATTCATCATAAAATTGACGTAAATTAAAATCCTGAAATCCACATTTTAATAAAAATTATTTTGAGCATTAGTTAGAATGAACGTGGTGTTCTCCATTCTAGGGAAAAAAATGTAGCTGGGGTACGCAAAAAAAAATAATAATAGAGAAGCTCCGTCCCCCTGCAAATCCCTCCCCTTTGAGTACTTCTTATGATTATTTATAAATTCAGTAGGTACAGTGAATCATTTCATAATTCGTCTAATTTAGATTTATGGTACCTTTTTTAATTGTAGATTTAATTTATGTAAAACTAGAATCAAACACTAATATCCTAATAATATTGTTTTAGTGTGCCCCTATATGACGATATAATTTTTATTACTTATTAAATGCCGTATTATTATTTTTTTTTTCATATATATTGTTAAAGTTAGTGTTTTTTATTTTTAAGTTATTCATTTTAATGAGAATTCACTCCGTGTGACATGTTAATTTGAAGTAAATATTCCTTTTATCGAGATTGTTATCAATGTATTTTTGCTAACATAAATTAATTTCTTTATGGTGTGTATATTAAAATTAATGCAGAAAAACGACAAACATATTAATGTTCCCATACATTTATATAGTTTATACGTAATATATCAAGTTATACGTGGTTTATTTTGAAATCTTACGAGATTTTTCTCAGTTGGATAAATTCGTTTTCTTTTTAAATTTTTTAATTTACGTTTGTCATTACCGAGTAATTTTATTAACCATTTTATTAACTACTCATAATTAAATTTGTTTGTAATATAAAGATTTCAAAGCTACTAAACCACAGATTTTTACTTGGGATATTTGTAACTGTAACGCGATGAAAGTATTATTTTAGAGCCTTGCTTCTTCAAAAGTTTGTAGTGGTTCGTCAAATACTTCCATACTGTGTTTAATAATAATACATTCAATATAATTATTTATCTGGGGCGTATTTTAGGAAGACGAAGAGGCGATCACGCCCTCTCCCCCGAATACGAATTCAAGGAATCAATTATGTGTGAGATAAATATTTTAAATTTTTTTAATGTGGATAATTTTATAACGAAATCAAATTAAGCGTGGCTGTGAATACTGAATTGGGCTTTTTGTCGGGTCTATACTTAGTTAAAAATCAAATAAAACATAAGCGTAACTTTTAAAACACAGATAGGTGTTAAAAAAAAAAAAAAAACTATACAAAAGTCAATTCTAAGTCGATCCGGCATTAGATTAAAAAAAAAAAACCATAAATATTAAGGATTCCCCAGATTTAAATTTTACCAACAATTTTACTTGTAAATATTGAGCTTGAATTTAAGAAAAAATTTGAGTCGTTCCCATAAAAGTAAGTCTAAATACGCCTCTGTAATTTATAAGACTACATCATTTGAATTTAATAAATTAACCAATTAAGTATATTCAAATATAGGTGTAATTTATAATTATTAAGTTTAATGTTTGTGGGTTAAATAAAGCCGTTAGAGGTTGTAAATGAAATGCCTATATACATTTTTACTCTTGACCAAAAATGAGTTTAACACACCACTAATGTAAAACTTATATAAATAATAGATCTATTACTTATTTAATTTTTTTTTTTAATAATTATCTATACATAAATCGAAAAAACTAATATACTCAATGAAGTATTATTCATATATTATTATTTTCACTACCTAATTTTGAAAGTTTTTCTTATGTCCATGGAATTTTTACACGTTTTTTTATTTTAGTACCTATATATTGCTGTAAGTTATACGCAATATAATTTTTATATTAAATTAATCTCATTAAATTGAAAAAAATTAATTTATGTATTTATTTATTTAATTTAATCAACCATGTTATAAAATATAAATTGTTCCATACGATCTCTTTCACTCATTATTGTTTTTTTTTAAGAGCATCGGTATACTGATTTCAAATTTAAAAAAACAATATCATTCACCCTTACCTGTATCCTTTTTATTTTTAGCATTATTTGTCTTATTTTATTGAATGGATTATTTAGATTTAAAAATGTAATAATGTGGATATTTCTTGTAATTAATTATATGTAGGAATTTAAATTTTATTTTATAATATAGCTAAAGGTTGTCTTAATTCACAAGCATTTTGATTTCTTCAATAAACAAGTATGCCTTTTCACTAAAACCTAAATCGAATCATATCGAAATCAATTAATTGCAATCCTTGTTAAAAATTCGAAACAAAATAAATAAAAATTGAATTAAATTTTTATAATTTAAAAGTGATTTTTTAATTTATTCTTTCTTTTTTCTATTTATTATTTTAATTTGTTTATTTTAGCTTATTTATAAACATTCATTCCAATACTTACATTTGTAGTTTGTAGTTGAAATTTTTAATATTTTTCATTGATTAAATCTTTTATACTTCAAAAGATAATTAAACTAAACTTAATAATGTTTCAAATTGTTACATAAGTTATATTATATATAAAATTTATAAAAATTTGATATAACATCAATTTGACCATTATTAAATTATGTTACATTTTCTTAATTATTGTGTATACAAAATATCTTTTTCTCGAAACAGTAACTACATTCGTATTTTAAATACAATGTTCCAAAATGATATTGTATTTACGTTACAAGTAATATTGTGTTTTGTCATATGTTCCATAATACTAAAACAAAAGATATCTAAATTTGACTAACTTTTTTTTTATTATAATAATTTTTTCTTCGTAGTGTTTAAGTTTGATAGAATAAAATATGTCTTAATTTTTTTCAATGGAGGCTTGTGGTGAAGTTAAAGATAAGTTACAATTAATAATTTACAATGTGTTATATTCTATTTCTGTTCTTACGAATACTTACGTTGTGTCATAAAATAGATTAGTGTTTCAGACTCGAATGTATTATGATCACTTTCAGAAACGTGTTAAGTCGTACAAGACTAATGGCTTTAAAATGCAAATTTTTGGAATTACATTTTGGTATTAAGTATATATATATATATATATATATATAGCTATTTTAATCCGTTGTATAGGTTAACGATACGGTTTGTTAAAGAAATTGTCTTGTAATCATTTATCATACTAAATAAAACAATGCGTATATGTACAAACAAGAATTATTATCTTACTTATATTATATATATATATATATATATAGTTAAAAGACGTATATTATTAACGTATTATTCTGAATAATAAGGGATGGGTTTCCTCTATTAACTACCTCTGTTTTTATTCGTTGACTTATTCTCACTTATTTTTATAATTGTTTACATATTTTTACTACTGCAATTTTTTATACGTACGTATGCTAGTGCATCTTTATATTAATGTACACATTTATTATTATTTGTTATATTACTCTATATATGTATATAAAAAATACATTTCTTTCCACATATATGTCCGTTTTAGTATACCTTTTTTTAATCATGTCCACTTCCATTTTTTTTTTACTGTTTTAATGACAAAATGGCTGCCGACAAAGGAACAGAAAGACAGTCTCTAGAGATTGCCTACCGCTCATTAATTCAACCACGCAATAAAGTGTATAACAGACGTAATAAATCGTATTTTTTTTTTTTTTTTTATACTGGTTTTTTCATCTCTTCATCTCTTAACATTTTATTATATCTTAGGTACTACTCTTAGTGTAAAAATTCCTATCAATTGACGGTGTGTAATTATATTTTTTGGTTTTTTCTTAGAACGTATTCTCTCGGGTCGCTAGAGTGTGTAAAAACGATCGTGGTGGACCCCAGCAGCTCAAAAATCGATGGACTTCGTACCTGAAGTCTCGTCTCAACTGTTCCGTACCCGGCGAGTTCCCCTTTTACTTCAACGAAATACGTGAGTATAATGTTATCCATATATCAATATAGAAGTAGATAAATTAGTGTGTATTAATTTATAATATTCGGATTGTATTAATTTTAATAAACTCTTGAAATTTGTTGGCCATGAAAAAATAATATAATTTACAAAATCAATTGTACTGTTTTTAAATATTTTTCAAATAATCGTCAATAACATATACGAAAAATGAATATAGTTTAAAATGTAAACGTATGTAACCCATTTAGTAATATTAATAAAAATGTAAATATCTAATTATAGCCATCTAATGTTAAGTTATATAAATTCCCTTCATACACGTATTTGACACTGAAATTAATTAATAAAAACTTAAAAGTTATCTACTTATCGCATTAAATAGTCTCATTATTATATTTGAAATCAATTTAACTTGTTCTTATTTTTTAGCATGCATTCATCGGTAATTTGTATGTTACACGTAATTGATATTTGAAATTTATGTTTTAACTTGAATTTAATGACTCATAAATCTCAATTAAATTATTTTATTGTTATAATGATTTTATATTATCAATATGTTGTGTAGGTAGTAATCATTAATGATAACAGTATTACCTAGGTATTTATGATATTAAAAAAATCGTGTTATTTTCTATTGTCATTATAACTATTCGCTGGTATGTTAAAAAAAAAAAAAAAAAATGTTGACAAATAATTTAAGTTTTATGAAACTGTCAACAAATAAAAATAAAAATTTTTAAATTTTAAAAATTAAAAATTATAAAATTAATCATTATTTAAGCTCGTTAAAACCAGGATACTTATTACATTATTTAATAATAATATAAATCATAATTTTTTATTGAATATTGGTAGAATAAATATTTTAATATTCACTTATAAGAATACCATTAACATATTTTTGTCTACAAAAATCTTAAGGTGATTTATTTACCTCGCTTCCTTGCATTCTAATTCTTATATTCTATTCTAATTCTATTGGAAATAAAACGAACAACAATACATTGTATTGGATTTTATTTGATATTATCATACTGTATATTCCCTGGGGTTTTAAAAAGAAATAATCGTTTGAGGTGATTTTATTATGAATAAAAAGTCACGTTTTGTGTATCCTACGGAAAAGTAAAACATACGAATAAGTAATTCAACTGAAACTGAAGTTTTCATAGAAAAACTTTTTTAACATGGTGTTTCTTTTACCCGACTACACAGTTCTAAAAAAGAAAAAAATTGAAGGAAAAGACTGTCTATTTTTTTCTTTTTTAAACTTATTATTATTTTTCATTTTCCACTTACTATCAAGGGAAAAAGTTCACCCTTGCCATTATGAAATGAATAAAATACATAGGGAAGCAGAATAAAATATGGGGTTTCACTTGTGGAAGAATTATTCGAGCACATTAAAGGTTACTCGCTTACGCATAGTTTTAATTATAAAACCACTTTCACCACGCTGAACTTATTTTGCCCTCTATCTCTACTTTTATTTTTCCTATTTTCATTTTCTTTCTCTTTTCCTCTCCCATTATTTCATGATTATCTATACGTTAATACTACGTATGACACAATAAAATGTAGTACAATAGTAAATTCATATATGTATTCAAAGTTAAAACTACGTATATGTTCAACTGTATAAAATGTTTATACATTCACACTGTACGTTTGGCATTAGAAATTTATACAAATAATGGTCATCTAAAATTTGTGATTTTCATTGAATTTTATTTTTTTAAACAATAAAATACAATTATATTACATTAACTCGTATTACACAAATATTTCATTTACACTTAGCTTATGCATCTTATAATTTTGTTCGCTATGATTATATAATATGAAATTTATAATTATCTTGTCAAAAAAAATTCAGTGTTTAACTGTAATGCAATTGTTTATCAATATTGCGTAATAAATATATTACTACTAGTATATGCATTCTCATCGACTTGTATATTTTTACTTAAATTTCGTAAAACTATTAAAAAATAGTTCCAGTCAAACCCCTGTATTTATCAATTTTAATATGTTGTCTTCAAAAATAACTCAGAAAACTTTTTATTTTTGCCTTCACTTATTTTATTCTTAATGGCCTAAGCGATGTTTTTGTAATTTTAAGTTATGTTTTCTGTGGCAGTCTTTGAAAATTAAATCTTGGGATTAATGATTGCATTTTCCATGTAAAACAATATATTTATAAATAAACTATCGTTTTAAAAGTATTATTCATAAAAAAAAACCAGTATTTTGAACAACTTTTCATAAAAAAAATAACTGGTCAAAATTGTCTTACAAAAAGCGCCATTTAAAAAAAAAAAAAAGAAGAAAAGATTTTACCTCGTTTTTCAGTTTCTGTTGTTTGTATATATTTTGATATTATAATTTTTTATATCTATCTTAATACGTATATAATATACTTTGTTGCTGAATTAAATAAAAATATAATTAAATGATAGTTCACTTTGATCGAAATACAAATATATTTTTTTTTTCGAGAACTTTAAAGAGTATATATAATTGTGAAAATAAATATTAACGTATATAAAAGTGAGCATTATAAAAAAACAATAAATGACAACTAAATGTACTGTCATAATACATAACAGAAAAATACATGATCAACTGCGTTTATCTATTTTCGTTCTTAACTAAATCCAATATGTATACATCTGGGACGACATATTATGAATGTAGTCAAATCATAATCATGAAAGTTTTGTTTGGGTCATATTTGTTTTTCTATTATGGTGCGTGAATCCGTATCGATTGAAATCGCATGTGATTTGATGGAATTACAACAACCATTAAAAATATTTTTATTGTATTTATATTTATATAAATATATATATATATATATATTTTGTTAACAGCCCAAGGGCTGGTTGGTAAATAATAAAAAAAAAAAATAACATTATATTTATAATATTTAAATTAAATAGTAGTTGATTTTAATATATATTTTATATCTTTGTGTACAAACGAATACGACCTCGTTCTATGTACCTATTATGTAAACGATATCTGAAAAAAGTTTGTATTTCTTCGAATCAATTAATTTATGTAGTTCATTAATGCTATTCCAAGACAAATTTGTTCAGTAATGCAATATTTATTCCCATTGAGCCTTGAGGGGAATAGTACAAACAACTACTGTTTCTTTTATTTTGATCGTGCTCCATGTGTACATTGTACTTGATCACAATAAACTATACAAATCGGTGTCTAAAAATATAAAAATAAAATAGAAATCGCACGATGCACGTGTACCAATTTCAAAATATATGATTCTAATATGATACTTAAATATATTGGCGCACATGTGTGTGTCATACTAGCAATGTCTTAGATTTTTAAAAATGGTATTTGAAGAACTAATTATACATTTTTCTTCCATCAGTCCAATCGATATTGTGAAGCGTACTAATTTTAAATACATATCTGAATTCTACATGAAGACTATTTCAATCAATTCACTTTTTTTTTTATTTAGTTTTTTTTTTTTTTTGTTATACAGTTAATGCAAAATAAAAAACGAAATTTAAAAAACAATGCTCTAATCGTTCTCAAGTATATCCGTTTTTAAAATATTATTTTCGAAATATCCATAAAACTGATAATGCTGGTAGATTTTGGTAAACATGTTTATTTATGATTTTATATCAACATATTATTACATTATTAAACAATCATTGAAACATTTGTTTTTGTATGTTCTCTCTTTTCAAATACACCTACAAACAAAATTTTTGGTAAGCCAAGAATGTTAATCCATAAATGTATATTGGTTTTACTCTTACTCAGATACACACACACACACACACACACACACACACACATACACACACCCATTTATACATGAATTTTTTAAATATTCAAGTACTTATATGTAATTAAAATGTGAGTTACATTGTTGTGGACTTAATACTTAATACTTAATATATACTGTAGATATATAATTCACCTATATATTACAGTCTAAATACGATTTTAAACTTCGTTCTTGAGTGAATGTGTCGTACGCTTAAAAGGTACAACACTTCAAAACCACTTTATCAGTCAAGTGTGTCCTAACACATTTGTGTTAATATATGTCACACTCATGCACTTATTAATACTGGCAACATATCCTTGACCCACAAGGGTAACTACCAATGACATTACAACCGCAACCACTACTACATTGAGTACACGCACGTGCCTTTATTTCACTGCCGTTTTTACAATTATTATTATAGGTATTCGTATTTTCTGTTTCTCGCTTGCAGAATCAGCAACTGACCTGGTGCAAGGAGTGTACGGCACCAAACAGCATTTCATGATGTACGGCGTATTCACAACCCCCGTCAATAGTATCACGGGGTCGGCGGTGTGTGCGTTTTCGTTGTCCGACATTCTCGATTCATTTGAGGGTGAATTCAAGGAGCAGAACTATATGAATGCCAACTGGTTACCGGTACCCGGGTCAAAGGTACCGGACCCTAGGCCGGGTCAGTGTGCCAACGACTCAAGAACGCTGCCCGATCTCACGCTCAACTTTATTAAAAGTCACTCGCTGATGGACGAAGCTGTACGGTCGTTCTACCAACAGCCTATTATCATCCGTACAAGTGTCAAGTAATTACCTATTTTCGTTAAATTAGATCTATGATACTTAAGCTTTGAAGTGTAATCCGACGTCCACGCACATTTTATAATTTTTTTTCGCTACGTTTGCATAGTTACAGGTTCACGGTGATTGCTGTGGATCCACAAGTCAAAACCATTGACGGAAAATTTTATGACGTCTTGTTCATCGGAACAGGTATTTATTCCGTTTTCATTAATGTTATGCAAATACACATATTATATATATATATATATTAGCTGAATTACTCTGCTTCGCACAGTATAGTCTTTACCGAGGCATCATTTTTAATGGATTAGTACCTTATACTATTTATAGCCTAGTTTGATTTAAGTGTTTAGTTATAAGACAAATACAATGAAATTTAAAATGAATAGGTATGATAGTTTAGGGTTTACGTTTAAATTCCTTGTTTTTCATCGTCTTTATCAGTGCCAATATATTTTAAAATCCATTCTTATTGTAAGTTTTGAGACTAAAGTATTGGGAGACCACTATGTCAACTTTCAAGTTCATATATATTGTCGTTTTTGATTTGTAACAATGATCAATGAGCGAGTGGTATTTTCATTTTTTTTAAATAGATTTTTATTTATTCATTGCTGAATTGCCTGGAGTTGCCTGGTGAGAAAATTGTGAGTATTCTACTTCTTTTAGGTGTTACTCTCTATAAGCTCTATGCCTTTTTCAGTGTGAATCACTCGAATAAACGGTTAAAATATTGTTTATAGTGTATGGTAATAGGTAAATTTTAAATATACCTATAATTTGCTGTGCTGTTATTAAATTTAAAGAAATGTTATTACTATTATCGTTACAGCAATATTAAATTTACTTTGGATCATTATGTATTTTTATTTCCTTTATCGAGAAAATTGTCAGTTAAAACTTTCAATTGAACTTTTTATTGAAGAGCATTTGGATAAACAATATTTTTTTTCAAATCAAAGGTTTTTCAGCGCGTAAGCAGACTAACAACAGTCTATATGAGAAATATGGATATTCCAAATTTACTCTATACATTTGTAGTGATTATCCTTGTGATTTGTTGATGGTCATTACAAAGGCAAGTTGAACTGGTAAATTGTGGATATATTTAAATTCGAATGTCATATCTGTTGGAAACATTAGGATTCGTGGCAACAGTGCATATTTTTCTTTAAATTTTCTTTTTAAAATTGGAGCTTTGATAATGTTGTTCATCAAATTTTTCACCGAAAACTTGGTATCATTGTAGAGTCATGGTTGATTGATGTTTCGTAGAAAAATGATGGGGATTTTCAATGTTAGAACATGTGGTGGCATGCTTGAAAAATCAAGTGAATTTAAGAATTCAGTTGGATAGTTGATAAATTTGTCTTGAATGAATTACAGTATCGATGGACTTGTAGGTTATCAAGTCTCTTAAATCTAACCTGGAATTCTGTTTTGAATTTTGAAATTGATTGTATTTTTTGATTTGACATCGTTGTTTTTGGCTGGTAATATGGCACTTGTATTGAACCACTAATGATTTCTATAATTTTGTGTTATATCTGGGAAAACTTTGTCAATTAACTTATAGGTGGTTGCTATGTTATAACAGAAATTTGTTGGCAATGTGATTTGTTAGTACTATTTATTGTAAGTGAGGTTATAATAAAAGTGTCAATAAACTAACACACTACCATTTGTTTTCTTGAATTTGGCGTTTCAATTAACTTTCTTTTGTATCTAATCAACGTACCGAAAAGTTCTTGTAAATAATCACTTGTATAGATGTAATAAAAAAGTAATGAGTTTTGTTTTAAGAGAATATAGATGTTCTTAGAAATTATTTTCAGTAAAATTGACAAAAATAATAAAATAAATAAAATAAACACAATAAATAAAATAGACACCTTTTTCTAGGTCTTCATCATTTTCTAGGTGTACACTGAGGTGTGACTGTGAATTTTCTTCCGGTTTTCGGTCGTTACAGCAACAACAAAATAGTAATTGCTCGTTCGGTCCTTTTCAGGTGTACTTATGCTTTGGTTTTATTATTTTTTTATGAAAAAGTTAGTTTAGATCAAAGGTTGTCATTCTCTAAGGTCGAATTTATCTTTTTGCTAAATTTCATCGTAATTGGTTTAGTTTTGGAAGGCATAATTCACATGCAAACATTAATTTATAAATTTCTCATCAATAGCAATATTCTCTTTTCGTTGTCTTGACTGAATAGCACTACAGATGTCTTCCTCGGTTGAGACATCAGTAGTTTGAACTTCTTCGACTATGTTCATAAATTCATCATAAAGTTCGGTTGATACGTTGGTGGTTTCAACTTTTTTTTGAATTTTGATATAGAAACATGAAAAGGTAATTTAGTTATTTTATGTCTCTACGACATCAATGAAATACCGGTAGCATCATAAACTTGCGTCAAATAGCATAGGTTTTTTTTTTTTTTTTTTTTTATCATATTTTTAAATGACGACTCATAATATACGTACAACTTTTACTTGCCCTGGTCTGTTTGAATCCAATAGACGAATGAGTCAATTAATTGTGAGTTCATCAAACGGTGACTACTGTATAATACTTATATTAAATTAATTAAAAAAATTTCTTCTCGGAATATAGTAGAACTACCACCACTTTATCTCTTATTTATAAACCAATATTAAACTTACAAATTGCATAATATTGATATCGCATATACGTGCACTGTAATTAAATCACATCACAAAAATTACCAAATCGATTTGGGTTCATTTTCACGCCTTGAATAAGTTTGTTCTATTTACGTGTACAACCTCCATAATTTCATCCCATTAATTTTCAATCATCTTAATTTACATGCAGATAGTAGGTTTATTGCTTGGTCCATAATTATTTATATAATTATGGATATAGATTATAATTTATAAACGTATATTTCTTGCGTAGACAGTGGAAAAGTCCTAAAAGCGATAAACGCAGCCAGCGCAGACACCAACGAAAAAGTGAGCCCGGTCGTCATTGAAGAGCTCTACGAGTTTGGAGGTCCTGGCACAACGGCCGCTGTACGAAACATAAAGATAGAAGACAAGAGGTTGCTGGTCATAACAGACAGACAAGTGGTATCACTTCCTCTGGATAGATGTCAAAATCCACTAATAGCAACTTGCAGGTAAATACATAGATAAATCAAAAATTATAAAATGAATAATTATATCTGTATCGAAAAGAAAACCACTATTGGCCCTAATGTTTCACATGTCTTATTATATCAACATAAAATGTATATAATACCCTCACACATGGTCTAGAAAAATGTTTTTCTTCGTAACTACTCTTACTTGACGATATTTTTTTTTTTTTTTTTTGAAACGTGGTTTTGGTTATCAAAGATTTAATTCAATTTCACTCGTAATTATGAGCAAGTTTATGTAGGTATAAAAATTTTTATTTGATATTTTATTAAAAATGCAATACTTTATTATGAAACTATTCGAATGTAAATAGTAAAAATTTTGTTTGATTTCACTCTATAAAAATTTAATAAAAATAGTGCTATGAAAACATAACAGTCAAATTACATTAACCGTATATTTATACGAGTACATCATTATACTAAATGTCAAAACTCTATATTTATTATTGTTTACTACTTATTTATTGTAATTTCACATTAATTATGATTGATTAATAACAACTGCTTCATTACTACAGCGAATGCATTGGTCTTCAAGATCCATATTGTGCATTCGATAAAATCAATAAAAAATGTCGTTCTATGCGTGAAGTGCCAACCAATCGATGGCACGAGTTCTACCAAAACATTCAAACAGGATTGCACCACGAATGTCCGTCGGGTAAGTACCATGTTTTTGAACCTGTCTAAACTATTTTTTCGTAGTCAAACCTTTATGTTACAAATAAAAATATGTATCATTAATAATTAAATGCGTTTATTTTTTGTTTTGTTTTTGCATACATTTTTATAGTTTCAAACAGAAAAGATGCAGGTATTGGATTCGCTTCAAACGCTCAAAGCGGTGCTATTGGCAAGTCGATTGAAGACATAGGCGACACGATAAACCTTTCTCAAGACGATCAAGCCCCGCCCTTCGGTGCGTAATGTATTCGAATGTCACTAGTTATTCTTTTTTCTCTTCAGTTTTTTGAATTTAATTTATTATTGTTTGTTTTTCAATAAGGCATCAATAACGACGACGTTAGAGTAGATGAACACGATGAAGGGAGCTACACGATGGAGACAGTTTTAACAGCCGTATTCGCTGCGTGTTTGGCCGCTCTGTTAACAGGTTTTCTGGCTGGTTACGCATGCGCTAGGAGGTGCACTAAGAGCGAAGACGATAACTTACCGTACCCAGACACCGAGTATGAATACTTCGAACAAAGGCATAATATGAATGCGTTAGTATATTAAGTCATTCAGTTATTTTTTTTAGATATTTTTATGAATGAAATGAGGAATTTTACAACGTGGTTTTTTTTTTTGCTTGAGTATTGACCAGAAGATTATTCGTATCATATCAATTATAAAAGATTTCTGATACCAAAGGTCATCTAGCTAGTTCATTGTGGGAGGGGAGGGGGCAATTTTAAGAATTTCTCAAAAGTTTTTAATAATTGCAAAAAACGGACGAATATTAATGACAAATAAGTTTACAATAAAATCGAATTTTTATTTTTATTTTAACTTAAAAATAATTATTGTGGTGGCTTATAGTTTTTACTGAATGCTTATTTTAAATTTTACTATTGATATAGGTGTAATTTTTAAAGTACTCTTATAAGCTCTTTATGAATAGTTGAAAATTTCCTGTACCTTAATTTTTTTCTTCAAAAATGTCAAAATAATTTTGGTTTGACAAAGATTCATGAATGTGTAATATATAGACCAAATAATTAAATAAATTTACAAAAATCTACTTCTTTTTCATTATTAAAAACTAATCAGATTTTCTATGCCCCCCCCCAAAAAAAAAAAAAAAAAAAAAAAAAAAAAAAACTAAAAAGACGCAATATATGTCTTATAATATAACAAAATTAAATTTTAACGAAATTGAATATATTTACAAATTTTCATTAAACGATGTTAGTTATAATTCTATAAATATTAACATTAGTAGTTCGAAATATTTATTGATTACTTACATTAAAATTTTTACACCATTTTGATGAATATTTCATAGTTTCAAAATTTGATTGATGTTTATTGGCACTCGAAATTTTTCTTATTAACAAATATAACTTGTGAAAGTTAAGATATTAAAAGTTCAACCTAACTTATTGAGAAATTAGGTTCTTCTACTATATAAACCATCTTAAGAAGTATAAACTGATCCATCTGATCTTTTTCACTCATCGTATTTTCGAGAGTAATAGTAAATTGGTTTCAATTTTAAAATAGCAATACAGCAATACTCTCCACCCATCCCACCAATTATCTTACCTGACCTAGGATTTCACCTTTTTTTTTTTTTTTTCATATAACTTGTTTGTGATGATATATTTAGTTATTACGTTCTAGTTTTTGATATTGTTAAGTTCAATTGTAATATCCATCGTAATTTAATTTTAAATGTTTGAGTTAAATCAAATTAAAGTATTATACTAAATAATTAGTTGAATTGATCATTTTTCATTTTATCATTTTATAATTTATAAATGTATTAAAAGATAACATAAAACTAAAAAAATAAATAATATGATCAATATTTAATAATATTTCTTGGTCATTTTCTCTTTAAAAGTTCATTAATATTATATTATATAATTTTAAAACGATATTATATAAGAATAATTTTATTAAATATAAATTATAGTAGTTTGTGAAATACATAATATAATTGATTGCTCATGAAATTCTTAAAACTACTTTATATGTGTATGGAGACTTTAGTAAATTTCAAAAAATAGTTTATATTTTTAAAGAAAAAGCTAAACCTTCACTATTCTTTTTTTTTTTTTTTTTTATTGTATATGTCATTTTAAGTAATAATTACAATTTAATTTTACTTTTATTATGTAAAATTCCGTTACTCTGATATTGTTTTTGGTATCTTAACACATATTATTTGTTAAAATAAATGTGTCTCAATATCAATAATTGTGTTACGATACTGATATTTCACGGAATGAGTCCAAGTGAAAACAACACAAAATTAACAAATATTTTAGTAAACAAATTACTAAAATTTATATTGATATAATGGCATGTTAAAAAAATGATTTAAACTTCCTGTACATAAAAATTTCGATTAAATTTATAGTTTAAATATTAATACATATGTATATTGTGTTGTGTGCAAAATTTTTTATTACCTTTACATTTTTTTACTGTATCGCCAAGTATCTAAGAAATAGTTTAATAGTGTGTCGCCGTTTAACAAAAATATGTTGACACTGTTCTAAATTTTCGTTTTCATTTTAATAATATTACATTTTTATTTTGATTGTTGATTTTACTAAAACAATTTTTTTTCTGATTTAACTTTGAAGTCATAATTTTATGAAGATGTTTTATTTAAATATTATATTTTTATCAAATTGATTGCACAACTTTTAAAAAGAATTCTACCAAAGTTCATTTAAAAAAAAAAAAAAGTACAATATTTATGTGTAGTAATTGTAGACACCTTTCTGGGAAACTTTCGTATTTACTACTGATTGCGCCACACTTTTAGCGAACTAGATAGAAATTTAATATACAATAATAATGCTGTTATAGCAACCACGAGGGGTTAAGAACCTTTTTGCTCCATCGTTCGAAGTTAATATATAATATTATTTTAACATTAACCCAACAGTAATGTTATGATTTCGATGATATTAATAATGATGATGATGATAATAATAATAACGACGACGAAAACTTTACTGAGTAGCCTTACAAAAATCGTTTAATTTCACCGTTCTGTTGTATTCAATAATTAATAGCCATTAAACGTTACAGGAGAAGACTCGGAGAACCCAAATTACTACCACAAGAAGAAGTCACGTATGCCGAGCCCGTATTAATACCTCCAAACAAAGTAATACACGGTTCACCCAAAGCTACTCTTAGACACGCGCCGATGCCACCGATGGGCTTTACCCAATTTCAACCGAACAGCGCTCAAGACAATTATTATTCACAGCAACAGAACATTCGTGATCATTTTGGAACTCTCCGGTCACAAAGGGAACACAAAGTAAATACGTCACGCCACGTAATTGCATTTATAATTGTCGACTGGGTTATGGTGGGGAGGAGAGTGAGGGTCATGTTTATGCCGCCACCACCGTTTCAGTTTTGATTTGAGATCAATAAAAAGCCATTTGCATTCTTCTGCGCAACTCCCAGCAAATGTTATTTCAGACACAGTACCATTATTTATTTTATGTGTATAAAATAATAATGAAAATAAAAAAAAATCTCTTAAATGTTGCCAATGTAAATCGTATTACTATAACTCTTCTGTAATATATTTATGATGTGTGTGTGTGTGAGTGATATTATAGCTTTAATATGGTTGCTGGTTTCCCAGTAAAAAAAATTAAAATAGTTGCGATATCGATTTTTTTTGCTTCGATATCGGTATTTTACAGTAATTTACGGTCATAAGAATTCGAACGTAGTTTTTGTTGCCTACCATTCCCTCTTTCCTTCGACGATTGTACCAACGTGTTAACCAACTGATACCAATTCCATGGATGTGTGAATTCCTGTGGGTCATATCGTCGCTTATCACGTATTAACGCGATTGAAGAAAAATGCGCACGTGAACTCGCACCACGCAATAACCCGTCGACGTGACGTCCATGTACAACATCGTATTGACGTAACACACATATCAAAACATATGCCTATTCGTGTATAGGTACAATTATAAAGGGTTCAAGAGAGGGTCAGAGTGGATTCTAAGTCATTAGTCGCACAATTAATGGGGACGAGGCAACGATCCTTGTGTACCACCAGTACTATGGCAAGCGAAAATTAAACGTCACCTTTTTAGCGGCCATTTTTCAATTAACTTATAGGCCAGCGTATCAATATAGTCTAGCTGTTCAGTTGACAATATCAAGGTTAAATACATAAACGCGACAGAAACAACATTTGCTATTATTTTTCGAAACTAAAGAGATTAGATAATGGTTTTTATTTTAAAAAGTTATCTGATTTCTTTAAGTCGGTATTAAAGTCATTGAAACATGAGGATCACTCGTGCGTACTAATAGCATTTCTTTCGTGGTTTTCGACTATCTTGAGTATCATTCCAATTCAAAATGCAAACACCAATCCAAGCTTTCTCTCGTATAAGAATGTGTACTTCGTTCGTATCACGGTATCTATATAGTGTACAATGTGGACATCTCTTTTAGTATTATAACTAGAAAAGTTTTTGCTTGAGAATTTATTCGACCTTAAATTAAAGAAAAAAAAATTATTGAGACTCCAGATGATCTGAAACCATTGACTGAACAAAAACATTTGTCTGTTCATATTTTAACATTATATGGTGTTACCAAAAAGATTAATTATATAATTTTATTTGAATTTCTGTACTGATAATTAATTTTTTCGGTGACTTGTTTTTATTTATATTTTTTTATAAAATACATATTTTCCTTACTGTTACTTAGTACAGTGTTTTTTAACCTGAGATTCGCGAATGATAGGTTTGAGAGTCGCCAAAAATAATGAACGAAATTATTTTTCCATGTTATTTAAAAATAAAATAAAGTTTATTATTTATTTTGTTAAATTTTTTAGTGAAAATTAATCAAAATTGTATAACACGTAAATATTTTATCGGTTATTAAATCAAATTTTGATAATCTACACCACATTATTTTTTTTAAGGGATCACATTAAAAAACAATAAAAAAATCCGATAAATGTTGAAAACTACTGACTTAGTAATGAAAAAGGAACAGTTCTCTTCATAATGATCATCGATACTTTTTAGAGTATATCTTTATTTTGAATATATAATATTAGTAAGGATTCTAAGTGAGCTCTATTTTTTTTATTTTTTATTTTTTGTCCAATCTATTTAATTTTTTTAAATAAACCTGTATTTTGAACAAATTCTAGTTTTTTTGTCGACTCAACTCAAAAAATAACTATCGTAGAGATATTTTCATTAAATACTATTAGTATGTTTTCTTAGCTTCCTCATTTATTATTCTTTTATAAAAAAATCTTTTTTTATAATCCTTTAAGTTTAAAACTTAGACAAGATATGATTAAATTTACGAAATCATGTAACATATTTGTAATAAAAAATGCATAAATCATCAATTTTAACGTTGAGAACTAGGTACATACAAATTTAAATTTATTGTCCTCAATAAATCACCAAAAAACTGCAAAAATATTTTTATACGCTTAAAAAATTAAAATTTTGTTTAAGTATGGTATTTAGCACAATTTTGATATTTGATCATTTTGGTAGTTTTATTGTTATAGAATAATAATTGATTTTAACAACTTAAAAAATTTACCAAGTACTTTAATTTAATATTAGTCTTTTATAGATTTATTAAAATGAAGAGGTACTAGAATTCTTAATTTATATTTTTTTTTAATATAGAGGCTTTTTTATTTGATATCCTTTGCTCAGAATCGTTTTTCAAAATTGTTGATACAATGATTTAAAACTGATAAAAAAAATTTAACTATATCAGTCTCCCGTTCCTGACATTATCTGATCCAAGTATCTCATCCAACCCCATCTCGTTTTTCTTAGCATTAGGTTACTGAGGCATCAAAAGTGTTTTTGGACCCTTCGCGCTCAAACTACTGACAGCATTTATTATATATCCAAAGTCCATTTGACTATCTTGTCACTTTTTCAGAACGATGGAAATAATTACCACCACCGAGACGGTTTCGGAACAACGCGCAGCGTGAAGAAAGTGTACCTCTGAGGCGCGTCGGAGGGGAGGGCTAGACCACCGCGTCAGCAAAACGCGAATGCTAGCAGCTCATCATCGCCTTCCCCTCCGAGCTCATCGCCGTCACCGCCGGCATCACCTTCATTGGCCCCACGCATAGCACCGCAACTGCAGCAGCAACAACAACAACAACAACAACAACAGCCACCACCAACGTCATCGCAACAACTGCAGCAGCAACAACAGCAGCAGCAACCACAAGCTCCATGCAGTTTTATCTACAGAGCTGGCGTATAATCCGTGCTATGGTTTACAAAATGTTTCTTTTTCTATGACTTGTAACATTTAAACGGCGACTCCGTTTAAAATAATAATAACAATTATTACTTGTATGATTATGTAACTTTTTGTAAAACTTATACGCGCTAAGTATAAAAGAGATCAAACATCTGAGTTATTTAATCGATTGTAGTTGCAATAAAGTACATATACATGTATACATGTGTATGTGTATACACAAACATATTTAACTATTATTATATCATCATAGACGTCGGTGCACGTTTCTATTTTCCAGTTGTTTTTTTTCTTTAGAAATGTAAGATTAGATATTTTTTCTAGATCGCTATACAAATAATTGATAAAATATGTGATAGTTATTTTAAAAGCCTTTATATATATATATATATTCTTTTTTTTTTATTTAGAATATAACTTTACACGCTTTAATTACGTAATTTATTTTCTAAACATAGTCTATTTAATATATTTATATTTTTTTTTTTGCTAAATATTTTAAAACCATTTATTTAGAAAAGTTAAATTATGAATATGTTTTAAAAGTCAGGTTATTTTGTTCTTTAATTTTATTATTAGATGAATTCCAATTTTTGTCTTGTAAATAGTCATTGCCAATGTATACATGTTTTAATTTTATTATTTTAGTTTTTATTTAACAAAACCAAAGCAAAAAATACTATATAAATAATATTATTATCAATACTTATTTTTCTAGCGACTTTAATTTTTAAAGAATAAAATAATCATAATATACTGATGTATAAATGGTCTAATATTTTTATTATTTTTCTAATAGCTATTTTATCATTTTTTAACATTTAAATTTATTATATTATTATATTCTGCTTTTTACTAACTATTATTATTATTATTATTATTATATTTAAAATTGTAAATAAGTTTGCCTTTTTCTATCACCCTTATTTATTTATAATTGAAAATTAAAATTAGAATACCTAAATAATTGGACACCAATGTTAAAACGAAAAAAATTAACTAATTTATCTTTGTAGTAGAATTAAGTTAAACATAGAATTGTTTTTTTCTTCATTTAATTATTTATATTTTAAATAATTATCAACTTATTTAGTTTCAGAAGTTTATATTCAGACAAACATGACCAACAGCAGAGACATTTTTGATGAACTTATTTGTTTCGGTATATATAATACTTAATTTATCAACCAACCAAATCTCAAAACCTAAACTATATTTTTAGTCATTTATATTTTCCAGCACATTTATTTTTACAATTTTTTATCACATTAATATATATCGTCTTCCATTGAAATATAATAATTTTTCATTGCACAATTATAAAGATTATCGATTTATTTCCACTCTCAATTTTTGACTTATTTTTTGTATAGTCTGTAGTAACTATCCCAAAGAATTGTATAATGACTTTTTTACTTTTACTATACCATTATACTAATGGGTTTAAAGTTGTTTATGTATTCCCTATGAAATATTTTCATTTATTTCTTGATCACTATGGGTTTTTAGATTATAATATTTGTTTTATTATGTATGCATATTTTTAATCTAAAAAAAAAAAAAAAAAATTCACATACATAATTATATACTCATTTTTTTTTTTTTTTTGATTATTAATATTATTATTATTTAAAAAATATGTTTCATATAATATTATGTGTTCAAATTTATGAAGTGGTCGTGTTCGTTAGCCTTGCATTTTTGGCTGTGTTCGAATTTCCAACGTGAACGATCATTTTGAAATGTTGACTTTAAAAAGGAATTTATTCTTATAAAATATGCGTCTTAGCACTTTCCTTTTAGTAATTTTATTAAATTTTTAACACTGGAATATTTGAATGTTAATTTTTATCTAATACCAATACTTACAGAAGTGTCTGTAAAATAATGAAAACTCTCATTAGCTTATTAACATTTTAATTATGTATGAAACAATTGATTATATGATGATTGTTGACAAACATATTATTAATGAAAAGAATGTTTCATGCAATAATTTAATATTTGTCAAAACCATCTTATCATAGAACTAGTGCAAACATATTAATTTGTTTATTATTCTAAAATTAAAAATTAGTGATGTAATTTAATGTATGTAAGTAACTCAAATGTTTATTTATTGTTTTTTTTTTTTTTTTTGTATGTCAAATAATTATTGATTATTATAATTATATAATTTAGTCCACCATGGGGTTCTACCTAATTTTTTGTATTTTGTTATACAAGTTATAAAGGTGGATTGTAATAGAAAAACTAAAGTTTCAAATCGAATTTAGTTTTCCAAACAAACTAAGTAGTTAGTTGAACAAAATATATAATGTTTAAAATATTTGACTGTGCTTAGTTTATTTTTCTATTAAATATTAAATATTATTGTCGCATGATATATAGGCGATAAAAATTTCATTGTAAATTTGAATAATGCTATAATTAACATTCCAAAAATTCTAATAAAAAAATAAAAAAAAAATTAAAAAAATATTGAGTACACGTAGTTGTATAATTTTTTAACTGTTAGTAATTTTATCAATTTATACTTAAAAAATAAATAAATAATTTGTATTTTATATCTTTTTTTTTCTTTTTTATATATAATTATTTTATTTACTTAGGAGAGTAGTTAAAAGTCTTTTATACTTTAGAGCTTGGCACTAACTTGTATGAAAATGGGCAATGAGACTGTAGAAGCTCTGAGATATAAAAATATTGCATGCTAAAATTTTAAAATTATCGCATACTGTATATTCATATGTATCTACGCGTAAGTTAGCATGTGAAAGTTCCATTTATTTATAAACATTTTTTTTATATTAATTTTTTTTTTTCATTTGTAAGTGAAATCAAACCAAACGTACTGATTGCATACCTAATATTAATTACGGTTATTATAATGGTTAATAGTTTACATATTAAATAAAAATAATTTCTATTAGAAATGTCTTGTGTGTTTTCATTTCATTCAATTAACATGAATAATATTTATCTATATTTATGAGATGATATATTTCTATAAATTATACATAGAAAGAAGAAAAACTTGGCTTTCTACTTTTGCCAAAATTAAAATTGTTTTTTATATGAATATATCTTGTAACTAGAAGAAAAGCTAAAATTATATCAATGATGTTAAACTGGATAGTACATTCATGAAGTCAAAAGCATAAATGTGTAATATGCTGGGTCTCCCTAAAACCGATTCGGTTGTCATAGTGAATTCATAGTGAAATCCATAGGCGCAATAGGGTTTTTAGCACCCCTGAGTTTAAATGTAGCACTCCTGTATTTTTTCTGAGCTATATAATCTATAGTAATAACAGTAAAACACTATTTAATATATTATATATTAATATATTTCATTTTATTTTCACAAATTTCAGCACCCCCAGTATTTGGGCTCTAGTTGCGCCCATGACAAAATCATAGTAAATGTTGTATAAATATTTTATTGAAACCATAATCAGTTGATATTGTTGGGTATAGTAACAATAATATATAATATAAGAATATGCAATAATTACAATAACTTAAACTATGATTCCACTACAAATTCACTATAGCAATCCAATCGTTGTTAGGGAAATGGTTAATTTTTAATTTGTTATTTGTGTCAATGTATCTCTGATAAACATTTTTTAAAGTTTTTCTTGAATATCCTACACTTTTTATGAAGTATTATTAACGATATGCAAATAATAACTTTAATTTAAATATCAATAAATACAATTTTGTTGTTCGTTGATACGATCTGATGGTTCTATCATAGTTTTGGAATATATCCATGAATATAGTGCTCAACTCTATAGTTGGTAGTTCAGAGAAAAAAATCACAATAGGATTACATTTAAGTTTGAAAAAAAATCGTAACAATTAAGTTACCCATATCATACAAGTGTCGGAATATTACAAATTATAATTTTTAAAGCGCCAAGATTTTTTTTTTTTTTTTTTGGAGCCCATCGAAGTTCGAGTTATAACTTCACGCACGTACACCGAAATCTGTCAACATATCGCTCAGTGGTCCGATTTGCACCACTTACAGATCAATGCAAGAGACCACGGCATCGTGCTGTTCGTTTCCATCGTCCGGGTCGTCATTCCATTAACTTCCGATACGCGTCCTGCAAAGGACATCTATCGGATCCGAACTCGACGTACAGATGACCATCGATCGGTTTTTCGGTGGCGCTTCCGACGGCTGCGGATATTAAAAGGTGTATTTGGAATAAATGACTGGCGTGAAAATTCGGAATCGGTTCTGCGTGTCGTTTACAAAAATATATTTTTATTTAAACCCATAATTTGTACCATGTTACATCGGAAATACATATGTTACGTCCAAAAATAATTTGTGAGGCTCAAACACTGTGTATGGGTTAAAGTGACCGTTTTCGATTATGCCATAACCGTATTTCTCATTATACATTCAACCCTAACCGTTTGTATGTATGTTATTATTTGTTTTTCGGTTTTCTTAGTGCATCATAATTATTCCGGAGCCGATTGTCAATGTATTTCGTCACGTAGCAGTAATCTGTAACTCAATAGACTCCCGTTTTGAACGTGTTGTCCAGCGAAAACAAGTGCAAGTGTTGCACCCGTCCGGTTTTTAAGACGTTCACCGTCCGCACGTTCCTGTACAAGCGGAACAGCTCAAAAACCTTCTTCGCGAAGTTCACGGGCGCGTGTTCCGGACTGTACTATGTAAGTATTCGCTTGGGCACCCTGCGCCTCGTCCACAGGATAACCGCTATTTTGCTA